AATCAACATAGATTATAGAAATTATAAGTATAGTAATGTAAATAGTTAATAAAATTCAAGCAAAAGCATAAAATTGTAGCAGCCACTAAGTTTCAGCTTAAAGTACACAAATAATAGTTATAGTATACATTCATCAGCTTTTACTGTGGATTCAGATGCTTATAGAAACAACAAATTTAAGATATGTTTTGTGAAAAATGCAACGTATAGAATAACACTGTTTTGAAATGAGAAAAAAATTCTCATTTCACAATCTCATGTACATATGATTGAATAGGGTGTCATATACTATATTAAGAATAATAATAAAAAAATAGTATATTTACAGTCAAATTCTTAGCATACCATCAACTGTCATGCTTTTGGCGTATAGATATCACCTACAGTTTACACTTACATTAAAAGTTTTAACTTTATGAATAACAGGTATTTATTCAGTTACATAACATCACAAAATTTGTATATATATTTTTTTTAAATAATATCTTGATTAAGAACTTCAAACAATTTCAAAGTCAAGGTATACATATATATGTGGATTGGTAAAGTTATTGTATTTTACATTAAAATAAAATGTTTAATATATGTCTTATCTATTTTATCCAAGTAAAGTATATATAATGCAATCTTATTTAAAGCAATTATAAATAAATAAGATTATGTAAAAACCAGAGATATATAAATGTTTTTTAGAAACTAAGCCAAAAAATATGTTGTTAAGATACTCTACTATACCATCCCTTAAACTAAAAACATAAATACAAAACTTAAAAAAATTATACCTGTTTCTTTTCCTTGTATGCTGAAGATTGTTTCTGTTGAAGACCGCCTGCTCCATGAAGGTTCTAAACAGATATATTAAAGTTATGTCAAATGCTCGGGCCTAGTACATCATTTTCAAAGTACATGGTTAAACCATATTTGGTTTGTTTATCTGGTTACACCATTTTATTTGGATGTTTGGATTTTCATCTACTGGCAAATGTTTAAAGGTATGCAAAATTAAGTCACCCTATACGGATATCTAAAACTCTTACATGTTCATGTGCATATTTTACAATTTCTAGATACAATGTATAAAGACACTACAGAAATGTCATAGCCGTTTTATTGCTGAAAACAACCGTTTTTCGTATCGTAAGATATTTACTTATTTATAAACGATTAGTAGTAGCTTAGTTTAGCTAAATATCCACTTACTAAACGAAACAATATTGCCCTAATAAATTACGCACACAGTTCATATATATTAGGTTCCAGCTTTCAAAACGAATAACAATAATAATAACCACTAATTTACATAATTTCAGGCAGACATTCTTAATTTATACAATCTCTAGATGGTGACAAATTTTAATTAAATGCGGCGAACTTTAAATTGTACTTTGTAGCACAACATTGCAAATATTTAGCTACTACTATTAATACTTAGGCTCCACACATAAGCTTTAATCATAACATTACAAAAAAATAAGATATATACCTGAGGAGTAGGACGCTGTTATATTCATTATATGAAAACAATGTTCAAAGTAGAATTTTACTTCACTATAACTTAGTTAACACTAAAATGAAATATTAGTTAGGAAAAAGATAGTTGGTTTATCGTTCGATTTGATGGCATGAATAAATCTGTCAGACAGCCATTACTAAACACGACTCGAGACAAAGATAATAATATACTTTAAGCACAGACTAAGAAGTTTATAATTATTTCAAAATATCTTGTGTTTTTTTTTTGAGTTTATGGCCTGGGGCCTTAGTCAAGATGCCTTAACAGTAGTGTATGTAGAAAGTCGAAAACTTAATTTGTATGGAAATGACAGTTCGTGTCGAAAAGTTTTCATACAAATTTAGTTTTTGACGTTCTACATACACTACTGTTAAGGCATCTTGACTAAGGCCCCTTGTATCTAGTCCTAACACAATATCTTGTAGTTGCGATATCTAAATATGCCTATCGAAAGAGAAATCAATATTCTTATTTTTATCGATATAAAATGTCGACAATGGACGTTTGTCATACTAATCCAGCACCAAACTACCAATAACCTGCTTTAAATATCTCTGAACATTTTTTTATCTCCTTTGGCCAGATACAAAATATATACTTTTGTCAAATAATTTAAAAAAATATACCAGTTTATTTGAGTGCCTATTAAAAATACATGCAATTTATAATAAACACCTCTTCATCTTCATCGTCTCATGAAGAACAAGATATACAAGTGGAGTTCTTGGAATCGTTTTCTAGTTTTGAATGAGGTTTTAAGTTACATATCTGTATGATTGAAATGAAATATAATAAATTAGGACATAAAGTAATTTAAGGTTGATTTATTTTTCATGACATTATTTCCTATCTTAAGAATCCGATCTAAAACAACTTTCTTAATACAAATAACTAATATACTTAATGTTCATTAGTTTTTATGAGGAATTCTTTTTTGGGAAAAGGGATACTCTTGTTTAATAAAATCCCAGAGGCTCTTTTATCTCTGCCCTATAAATAAATTTCATAATTTTTTTTAAAGAAAAGCTGTGTAAAAAGGCTTACTTTAAAGTTAACGATAATCTAGTTGATAAAAGGGCCTGGGACTAGTGCTACTTCTTATTAATTTGCGATATTTGTTTTAAAATAAGCGTTGTTTGATGATTTGCTATTTTAAAAGAGTATCGAGAGTTTTTTACGCCGGCTTTTTTCTCTCGGCCTACACCCTCTGTCTTCTTTGCCGATGAGTAGGGATGTCTACTTATTCAAATTTAATGACGTGAAATAAGTGATACCTGTATCTTATATTCCATATTAAACATTTTTTATTTTTTTTAATTTTTTACTAAACACATAAATAAAAACTACACAGTATTAAGATCATTAAATCCAAGTTCCCCAGTATTGCCAACAACAAATTTATATTTCCGTATTTGCCATGAGTTTCCGGTAGAACTTGACACAACACATAAACTGAGAACCTTTCTTGTTTCTAGAATACTGAATAAACCAATTGGTAATATTAATCGTCACAAATTAAGATAAATCTTAGTTTTATCATTTAGACATGCTTTAAATTATTTTTTTATCAAACGTATTCTAACCCAGACTAAGTTTACTTTAACTAGATGATGTCTATAATGAGAATATGCATAAAGCTGAAAGTAATTCAATTTAAATACAGTGATGACTATTAATTTCATTTGCTATAAAACAATAGTATTTAATTTAAAAAAAATTATCTAACTTTTTTTGATTTCGGAAACTACTTTATACTATACTACAATAAAAATAAAAGAGTATACGATATTTTGCGATTAACTAAAAAGCAATGTTCATTATACTGCATCTTTAGTTTTATATACTAAAGGAACAACGATAAATTGAAGTATTTTATTTTGTGGTAACATTGTTCTGTTCTCTATACCAGGACGTTCTCTATACTGTTAGAGTCTAATGTCTATGATTTAATAATTCTTTTCTTGTGGCATGGTGACGGAATAAGGTGAGTTCTAGTAATTTTATAGATTAAAGTTGTAGTTTAATGAGCATTTAAGTGAATATTTTCTTACGGATTTATATCTTTTAACAAGTTTACCAATATTGAGTTGTTAAGGTATACAATGCAATAACTTTCGGAAATTCCACCTTATATTGTAGTTTTAGGAGCACGTGTTCTTTCTTACATAGTTTATTTTTTACTTTTTGTCTTGTATTACTGTTTCTTCTCTGTCGAAAATAACTAGTTACAGTGAATTTAACGTACATATTCAGTTAAGTTTCAAATAGACCGTGAAGAGGTTAGTACACGTTGACGCATAAGAGCACTATAACATTGACAAGTTGACTATTTATTGTTGTAGTTGCCGATAAAGCAACCACAATGCCGCAGAACGAATATATAGAGCGCCATCAAAAGCTTTACGGTAGGAGACTTGACTATGAAGAGCGTAAGAGGAAACGAGAGGCTCGTGAACCTCATAAACGAGCCGAAAAAGCCCAAAAACTACGCGGCATTAAAGCTAAGATTTATAATAAGGAGCGTCGCAATGAAAAGATTCAAATGAAAAAGAAAATCAAGGCTCATGAAGAGAAAAATGTTCGTCAAAACACAGAAAAAGTTGGGGAAGGTGCACTGCCTGTGTATTTGCTTGACAGAGATGTACAGAATCGTGCTAAAGTTCTCTCTAACATGATCAAACAGAAACGTAAAGAAAAGGCTGGTAAATGGGATGTGCCTATTCCGAAAGTAAGAGCACAAGCAGATGCTGAAGTTTTTAAAGTTTTAAAATCAGGAAAGTCTAAAAGAAAAGCCTGGAAACGAATGGTTACTAAAGTTACATTTGTTGGAGAGAATTTCACCAGAAAACCACCTAAGTTTGAAAGATTTATTCGTCCAATGGCACTAAGGTTTAAAAAGGCTCATGTAACACATCCTGAACTAAAGGCAACATTTTGCCTGCCTATTATTGGTGTCAAGAAGAATCCTAACTCCCAAATGTACACAAGTTTGGGAGTTATTACAAAGGGTACTGTTATAGAAGTCAATATCTCTGAACTTGGTCTTGTGACACAAGCTGGTAAAGTTGTATGGGGAAAATATGCTCAAGTGACAAACAATCCAGAAAATGATGGAGTTATTAATGCTATTTTATTGGTTTAATTGTCATCAATTTAATGTTACATTTTGGGTTACAGTAATAAACATCTTGAAATGTAAAAAAGTTTTGGTTTCACTTTACCTTTACTGAAGATGTAAGATTTTTTACAGGTTTCCGAAAATTTACTGGATATTGACAGAATGAGACAAGTAAATGAAATGAATGAATTATGATATATTAGTCCCTACAAAAATAATTCTACTAGTCTTGTCTTTAATCAAAACATGCCTTGCTCCTTTGATTGAATATATGTAAATATATATTTCTTTAAAAAATAGCCCTTAAAAATTAAATACTCATACATTTTTAGCTTTATTACAAACATCTTTAATTTAATAGGCGTCAAGATGCAGATCTTCGTAAAAACTCTTACGGGGAAGACCATTACACTTGAGGTTGAACCCTCGGATACCATCGAAAATGTTAAAGCCAAGATTCAAGACAAAGAAGGAATCCCTCCAGATCAACAGAGGTTAGTTTAACCAGAAGTTTTCATAGAAAAACCCTAGTGTTCAGCATATACCCACTAATATAATTTACAAACAATCATACTTCTGGATTTTTCTGCATTGGTATTTTTTTGTTACTGATTGTATTAATTGTTAGTACTCGACTACTTTTTATATTTTAAGGTTGATTTTTGCTGGTAAGCAGCTAGAAGATGGGCGCACCCTATCAGACTACAACATCCAGAAGGAGTCCACACTTCATCTTGTACTGCGGCTGAGAGGAGGAGCCAAGAAGCGCAAGAAGAAGAATTACTCCACACCTAAAAAAATTAAGCACAAGAAGAAGAAGGTCAAACTAGCCGTCTTAAGGTTTTACAAGGTAGGTGAAAACTTTTATTGTTGATGAAGTATCAACAAAATATGACTGCAATGCTAAGGTTCTGTTTCGCTATGTACAGATAAGTTCTACATAAGTTCCTAATTAGCTATTTATTACTTGTTGGTAGGATAAACACTTTTGTTGTGTTTCACGGACTGTCAGATTGTGCTATTCGTCACATAAAGTCCATCATAAGTTGAGTCCAATGAAGTGTCAAATAGCACAATTTATCTTCCAAATAATTTGTGTTGCATAGTTATTTGGTACTTTATCCATACATTGTGAAACAGACCCTAAATCTAATAAGAAAAGTTTAAAAAAAATGTACCTACATCAACATAATTTAGATTTTATTCCCGTATAGTTTAGGTACAACTAACCTATTTTGAAGACTGTTACTGATTACATTAAAATAAAAAAAACGTGTGGCACTCGGGGACTTATTTATTTTTATTTATGCAGTATTTTTAAGCTATTGCATAGATTTTATTATATTATTATTATATTTTAACGCCGCGCTCAAAGCCCGCGATAAAATCTATCCAATAGCTTAAAAAAGAATATCTATATGATTTAGTGGACACACAAAATACATTGGTTTATATGAAAAATAAAATAAATTTTACATATAATTTCAGGTCGACGAGAACGGCAAGATCCATCGTCTCCGTCGTGAGTGCACGGGCGAACAATGCGGCGCTGGCGTCTTCATGGCCGTGATGGAGGACAGACATTACTGCGGCAAGTGCCACAGTACTATGGTCTTCAAGGACGACGACAAATAGACCACTTCCCCATTTTAGTTTAAGATAACACTCAGACTGCTGTGTATGATGGATTGAATAAATCTTGACACAGTGTCGGAGCTTTTGACTTTTCTTTTATATCCTATGCGGCGGAGGTGAGTTCATTGTTGGAGCCAACTTTATCGTCAGTAATAATATTAATCTTTATTGAAATCAAAATATAGTTCAAATTTTACTCCCTAAGCTACGCTAAGGAAACGTGTTGTGGGTGACTATACAAAAATTGATATTTATAAATAAATTTTTAATCACCAACAATAAAAGAACAATTGAGTAAGACCTAAGTATGAGTAAATGAGAGAGTGTATGTGGAGGTATGACAGAGATGTAAAACTTTTGCAAGTTCTAGTTATACCAAGCTGTGTTCTGTAGAATCGAGATCCAATTGTGTTATTCATTTCAAATTCACATACATACCTTATTCAACAATTAGGATCCAAATTTTAAATCTTTTGTGTTAGGTTGGGCCATAACAAAGGTAATAATTTGGCTCATTTTTTCAGTGGAGAAAATTTGTAAGTAAGAAACAGGTTAAATTACCTAACAAAAAGTCCTTTTAAGTCGAAAGTAATTTTATAGGTGCACGAGGTGGTAAGTAAACCTGTTGGTCATTATAATCATATATTAAGCAAGACACCAGTCAAGCTGTGCACATTAAACTTAATTGGTGAACCCATTTGGACCAGTGCAACAAATCTTATGGACAGTCCTGGAATACATTGCATAAATAAATAAAAAATCTGGAGTTGGTAGTTTTATTTAAAGAAACTCCAAAATTTCATAAAATAGTTTATTCAATACTGAGAATATAACTTAAAATTAGATGAATTTTGTGCAATTTTCAAAATGATCTAATTTTGGCAAGATAATGAGAAACTAGTAGCTATTAGGAATTATCATGTCTGATAGTTTTAAATATGCTGTTATTACTAATGACGAAATAGAAAGTAAATTGATACTTATTGTAATTTCTTTATAAATAATTTATGTAAATTTTCTTAAATCTCTTTATTCATATAATATTTAACAAATTTAAAACTATTTTACACAATTTTATTGCACACTGCGAGTTAGCAGATATCACTTGTATACTGGATGACACTTGGAATGTTTGGCTACTAGCTGGAAATAAATCTATTTGTACATGATTCACTCAAGTGGTCCTATCTTAATTCTACTTGTAAATCCATGTTCCATCCCAGTTTACTTATAAAAAAACTTTTCTCGTACCAAGGATTCGAATAACAAGGTTGTTAACTAAAATGGTAAATTTAATGGGTTTTGTACGAGAATTACACGAAAATTGATAAACACAAGTAAAAAACAGCACCAATATACATTTTCCAAGGAGATCTAGTACAACAAAATATAGTTTTTATCTCAAATATCAACATCGAACATTTTTACTACAACTAAATTAAGATTTTATGTACAACTATAGTAAATTATCATGTAAGGGTAATGAGGTTATCTTTATTTTTATAAATCTCATATATTACCTTAACATTTGTGATAGCAAACGCTTAAGAAAAATGCTATTCAATGTGATGTAGTTTTTGGTAGATACAAAGCCACAGTTAACTAAACCCAACAAATCAATTGAAATAATGTTATATTTTTAAGATATCCGGTAGGTAATTGAGATTGGCAACGGTCATTCAAATGTAAGTATCAATACAGGTAAAATAACTTATTTCTAATTTTACAATAAATAAAGCTAAAGATCCAACTTTAAATTGACATCGTCAAGTCGTGAATATGATACAACAGTAATATGAGAACATCATACTTCTATTACCTATATAAATGTCCTGAAAGATAATAGGTAAACTGGTTTTAAACACGTTTCAACCGTGCCAAAGAAGTCATAACTATCGAAATTTAAAGTTTTCACAAGTTTTTATATAATTTCATTAAAAGATTCTAATATACATACATGAACATAATACAAAACGGTAACATTTCCAACATTATATCATACAAATCACATTTTACGTAAAACACCTTATTAAAAATATTTTTTATTAATCAAAATATAGTGTTATTGACGTAATATAAAAAAATACTTGCTAAATAAATTGTGTGATGTAAGGAATCACAATTTTGGCTTGATAAAGAACATAAATATTGGTAATTCGGAAAAAAATGGAATTATGTGTTTACAAATTAACTTGGCGGAATATACGTACTTTAAATATGTATCGTACACATGTAGTCAGAGTTTAAAAATTTAATTAACATTATTTAAATTTTAACAGTCAACATCAATAAGAATATTTTTATTGAATAATCCTTGAACAATTTAAGTAACGGCCTACCATAATATAAACTGATTATCTTTGGATCTTTTGTGGCAGAGGCCATCGATCCGTTCCTACATTTTAAAACTATATGGGCCATTCATATTTGAGAACGTAATTAATTTATCTATGATTAATATAATCAGATACGGATTCGTTCAGGTGTGCGCTAAAAATATAAGGAATTTCGAACGAATCAGTTCGTGAAACATTTCAAAAGCAGTCCAGCTGTCAATTCACTTTCTCTAATTTATTCCTAAATTCCCTTCACAGTTCTTTATGTCCTTGGTCGTCGCCTTCTGCCTTTTCCAATACCGGCTTGATTGTTTCTAAAAGTTTCGATAGCGCTTGTTCCGTCTGAAGGTATTAAATTTACAAGTAATTACTGGTCACTAACTTTCATACGCTAAATATGTAGAATACAAACATATAATTTATTAATTATTTTTAGTTAATTACGATTCTGTATTTATTTATTTATTCTGTAAATTTTAAAACATTTATTTTTAATTGCAAGGCAAGCAAAATCATTATCTCAGATTATGATCTATATAGATTTTGTTCTTACCTGTGTGAGATGTGCGACAGTCCTCGCGAGTGCCTCTCGCCAAGCAAGTAGTTGGTGTCGTTGCCGGAGCGTGTGTCGCGCTAATTGCGCCGACCATTCTGCCGTTTCAGATGTACGTGCAGAGCTTAGCCTGGAAAATTATTACTTTTTTAGCATAGGTAGAACCTTTCCATTGTAATATATTTTAAATTGCCAACAGTATGTTATGTCAAGCAATTGAATTTTTCACAATGTTTGAGTAGCGTTTTTAGAAACTGAAATAAAAAATCTAGGAATTTTTAACTATACTATAACACCACCGTGTTGAAGATACTTTGACAGTCAATGTTCACAATTTCTCTTCTCGTTCTTAAAATATAAATCGATTTAAAACCTGGGAGGTTCTGGTTACCTTGTGGAAAAATAATGATTTCTGATTCGAAGGCACAAAGACTGTCAAGAAAATTACGCAATTCAGTTCAGAGATAGTAGTAAGTAGGTACCTAGTCTGTAAATCGTCAAAGTCGATGGTCCTATCGGCGTAGTAGAGGTTCCAGTAGAGGAGTGCGTTGATAGCGAGCAGCAGTACGAGCGACATGAGCAGCCAGGGTGCGGTACGTGAGCCAGAGTCGGGCCGAACCGGAAGAGACGTCCCCAGAGGGACTGAACTCGACACCACCGGAAGGGGGGAGGATGACACTGGCAACGGGGTGACAAATCAAAGTTATTACAAGAAACTAAATATTCGGTAAAAACGACAAAAAAAAGGAGTCGGATGACGGATCATCAGTTGTGGTCATTAATATTATACTATTGTCCAAAATGTTATAAATTGAAGTTAATTGAATATAATTTACATACTCAGTATTGTGATTAATATTTATGGGTGTCACAGTACGTTTACTAGAATTTGTCTGCGTCACAATTGAAAAACAATGCTTAATACGTAAACCTGAGGTACTAAGATTTATCATGCTAATAGTACTCTCATGATGAAACTTATACTTAGGGCGTAACATATGACGTAGTATTGTAAGTACATAAATGTTACTGAGCTCTGTGTTTGAGTACACCTTCTTTAATGCATGGTTACGCAAATTTATTAGATGATTAACATAAATAAAGAGCTAGAATAATATTTACAAATGGATAATAAATCCTAAATATAACAATGAAAAATACACTATTTGCAATTTTCTTAACCTACATAGTAATAATAAAAATAAAACAAATTTAAAAAGTTGGATCCCTAACATAAATTACTTATTGCGCCCTATTGTTTTTTTCTCTCATCTGGGGTGTTAATTCATTTCTACTAATACCAAAAGCTAGAGATTTTAAACGTCATCTCTATTAAATATATCCGTTAAAGAAGATTTATTTTAGTGTAATCGCGGAAAACAAAGACAGTATTACTATATATATAAGTTACTAAAGAAAGAAGAAAATCTGAGTAACTTCTCTATTAAGAGATATTTTAGAAGACATGAGCCACATGAGATTTAATAAAATGACAAATTCACACAAAATTTGATATGTTGTAATGAATGATTAGCGAGAATTGTCATGCTGTTTCTCTAGCGTTATCTTCCGAGGACAGAGTAGTAAACACAGGAGTATTTACCGTAGATTTCCTCACATTTCACTGGAAAGCATTTAGAAGAAGAAAAATAAATTACATATATGTCATAAAAACATACTAGCCTGCTTTTGCTATACGACTTACGTAGTTCCCTTCAACAGATCCAAAGCCCTTGAGATATGAAATATTGAGCATATAATTTATTACTCATAATTTTTCGTTATGTTTTGCGTGGAAATAAAATAAAAATATTATTAAAATAAAAATATGGCAACTTAGCATAGTAATACATGTTTAAAAAAGGAACGTCATCATATTAAATTCCCCGTAACTCGATAATATTGCAAATAATCCGATAAAATCTATCCGAATAGTCGTGGAGGAGGTTTGTACCGATAACTACTTTGTAAAATCACGTTTAATAATACCAACGATGTATGTAAACGTTTTTATTTTTTAATCTCTTATATCTCATAAGGCTTACAATAACAAAATATATAAGTCCACAGAGCAATCTAAAACCTGTTTACTAACCGTCATGCCGCCTCCGTCTGCGTGCGCGTGCGGCAGGCGGCGCAGGCGCAAGCTGCGCTCGCAGCTGCGTCTCCAGCTTACGAGAGAACTCTTCCATACCGTTCATTGTGTTCTTTTCTAGGAATGCTACGAAAATCAAATTCATATATAAAACCATGATTCGTCAACGCAGAGCCAAGGTCAACAACTGATGTACTCAAACAACTTATTTATTAGATAGACAAAATATTTGAGGTTCATTAATGAATGTGATACAAAACCGGATACGATTTTGACTTTGTAATTATAATTTTAAGATTTTATAGAAGTTATTAATTTCAAATAAACTCTATAAATGTAGCTAAAACATTTTTATTTTACATTTGAAAAATAGCGTCTTATTTGTATTTTTTTATGGAACCAGAGGCAAACAGGTAGGAGGCTCATCAGACTAGAAGTTAAGTAACACCGACGCCCGTGGATAGTCACACTACCTGAGGGTTCGCAAGTGCGTGGCCGGTTTTTAAAATCAATATAGTTTTTTCATGAAGGACCCAAGTCGGATTGGTTCAGAAAAACTTCAGTGTGAAGATTTTGTTTTATTGGATGCTTAAAGTTATTGACAAGACATCTATGTTGGAAGATGTATTTAATATAAGCGTTGGTACAATACCCATCTATATTAAAAACATCAATACATTTATATTAGTCATGTAGGCACAACGATACTGACCATTAAAACAAATTTAGCATATATACCAAAACGAGCAAGCTCTACAAACGCTAGAATACCTTTAACCATAGGCCACATGGTCTTCTTATAATCAACCCAGCCGTATATTGTGAGTCGTGTGCCATCCCCTTCGCGTCTCAAGCAATAATGGGCTTCCACGCTGAAGTAATCCGCGTAAGGTATACCCGTGTTCTCGCTTGAACAGTTGATTGAGTACAGACATCCCGGTTTCGAGCATTTGTTCATTGTCTGAAAACATTTAATTAAATAGAGTAATCTGTATACAGAGACGCTAAAAGAACAGCGTATGTAGCGATATGGAAACATTTCAATGTACGGGCAAAAAATTCTCTTCTTCTTCTTCTAACACTACATTTATACGGGACCCAAAAATATAGTGGAGACAATAATAACTTAAAAAAAGGAAAATATACTGCTCAAAACAATTAGCGGAACAAGATTTTTCTCCTTTCTATTGCTTAAACTAAAATTAGATTTAAATTAACTTGTACACTATTTTTTACCTTGTTAATTTGTTAATTAATACAATTAATAAAAAAATTCAATTTGTATTTTTTTTATTAAAAAAAAAATTAAAATGTCATTGTAGACGAAAAACTAATTGGTGAAAAAAAGGTCCATCAAAGAAATATTCTTATATCGTTTGAATATTCGTCTTTAGTGACTTTCAGTAACGTGTGTGGCCTCCATGAGCCCTAATCACGGCTTGACAACGACGCGGCATGCTTCGTATGATCCTCCGAATATCTTCTTGTGGAATTCGCTCCCATTCTCCAATCAACGCTTCAGTGAGCTGCTGCAGTGTTTGAGGTGCAATCGGACGCTTCCGGATGCGCCTGTCAAGCAAGTCCCAAATGTGTTCAATTGGATTTAGGTCAGGGCTCATGGAAGGCCACTCCATTACACGGATTTCCTGCTGTCGTAAGTAATCTGACGTGATGGCTGCAGTATGCGGCCTGGCATTATCTTGCATTAAAAGAAAATCTGGGCTCATACCATATGCTGCGGGCCAAACATGATCTTCGAGCACATTTTCAATGTAAGTTTGAGCACACAAGCGCCCGGGAACAACGACGAGATCTGTGCGCTCGTCCAAACTAACTCCGCCCCAAACCATCACAGAGCCACATCCAAATTTGTCATATTCCTGGACTGCTGCTGCACTGTATCGCTCGCCTGGGCGTCTTATTAATTGTAGTAATTAACAAATTAACAAGGTAAAAAATAGCGTACAAGTTAATTTAAATTTAATTTTAGTTTAAGCAATAGAAAGGAGAAAAATCTTGTTCCGCTGATTGTTTTGAGCAGTATATAATAAGCAATAGTAGAAGTGCCGTCAAGAATAGAGTGAGGTACTCAGCATATCTCAGAGAGATATTTTACATGGTTACAACATAAACTATTGAGTGTAAATAATATTTGTAATTAATATTTTTTTAATCCAAATCATGAAATCTTTAATACATATCGCTATATAGCATTTAAACAAATCTGCGTTTGTAGTGTTTATTCATAATCGATATCAAGTGCTTCTTCTACTAGATGAATTATTATTTTACAAATATTAACAAATTATTGAATCGGAGGGATGGGAAAAGGGACAATGTATAATCCAGCGCGTACTGCGCAAAAATTTAATGATTATGAAATATTTTTTGTTTGGTCCAGCTTCTCTATACGTTATAATTATTACCTTAATGTATAAATATAAGTTTTTTTTTGGTATTTATCTAATAAAATCATAAATAAATTAATAATAGCAAGTATATAGAACTGATTCAGAAATTGACCAATTGCAATATCTTACGTCATTGTTTGGGTCTCTTTTGCTTTTGAATAATTCAAAAAATACTTAAGTGTCGCATCTTATACATTTGCGGCGTTGCCGAACTTGCATGTTGTTTTCGCTATTTAAAGATTGGCAACCTCGCCTTGGCCTCAGACCGTAGGAAAGATTTTTAAATCGATATGTCCCGCCGATATGAATTATTAGGTAAATATTTATTCTTTTGATACAGCTTCTGTCATCCATCGCCAAAATTTCTAATTACCAAGAGAGTTACGGCGTTTTCTTAGCAATGATTTGTCTATTTACTTTAATTGACTTTGTACACTCACGATAGAAACATAATTGTTAGGGTATAACACACGTCAACCCTGCATTTGTACAATTTAAGTAATACCTGTGTTTCTGTTACGTGAACTTCTTTAGGCCCGATGGGTCCTGAGGTGAGACTAAGCCGATAGCTCACTTGTCGACACTTGACGCTGTTCTGCGGCCGCCATGGGGCCTGGAAATAAAGAGGATGTCGTATAATTTGTAATATAATGGAATTATTTTAAAACATATGCCAGGAGATGAAAATTCTAGGCATCTGTTGGTTTCACAGATTTTCTAGATAAAATATGTACTGATTCATGTAGAGGTCCTAAATTCCTGAGAACATATTACCAAGTGTAATATGTTCTCAGGAATTTAGTTATGTTAACGCCTTTCTACTTGAGAATTAAAGTTATGACTTTTTAGGTTAGGAATTCAATTCAATTTTAATTCCTAAACATGACTGAAAAAAATTGCCTACCAAAACATTACTTACTGGGAAGTTTATTAATTTAGCTTCACGAAATTTGGGGTGGGCATCCCTTATCACTAAGGGGTATTAAAAATAGGACATACGAGTTTACGACCTATTTTCTGGAATTCTTTATATACAGTAACACAAAAAACTCCTAAAAATTGGTTAAACTTGGTTGTTTCAGAGGAGTTAGTTTACACCCAACCCGAGAATATTTTAATTCAATTTGAAAATCTACTTATGTATAGATTTGATTGAACTCACCAAGTATCTAGTAAACATGTTTTTTTAATTATTTCGTGTAAGTTTAAAAATTTAGTTTTAAAATCTTTACCAGATTATATTTCTTCGGTCCACACGCAGACTGGCGAAGTGTGCGTATATATACGTATACGCCAATATTGTTCTCTGTTTTTGAGACTTCGATTGCGTTGATATACCATTCAACTTGTATAGTTACAAATTTTATTCGATGTTCGTGTTCTTTTGGTTCCAAATATAACGAAGTTTATATATAAATATCCAACTATTATTTAAATATTTAATTGCACGTTTTGTTGTATGCTGAAAAATATATTTAATCGATACCATCATACCTGCACATAGTCAGAGGCGCCTCGCAAAGCCAGCAGTTCCAGATGGAACCTCGAGTTGGTGAAAATCATCGTGAAGAGCTGGTCAATGTGAAATGGAAAGACGCCCTCCAGCAATACTTTGCCCGTGTGAGCTGACGTGCATACAACGTCTTCATTACTACGAATGAAATAAACATTGTCATATTATATCAAAACGTAAACTGAAATAATTCCTTTTTCTTGAAATTTAATCTTGACATACGTTTAAGAATACGAGTATCAAATAGATAAACACTAATCAGTGCTTGTACACGTTGGAAAGCGCGGGCGCGGCGGCGGGTGCGGGCGCGGAAAAGTGGCGAGTTCGTGTTCACATTGGCCGCCAGGCATTTGCGCGAGCGTGACGTGTTGTCAGAGATTGTAAACATGGACGACATTCTTTTATTTTGAACCGAAAATTCTTATCTAAAGTGGGAGATGATAAAAATAGAATTGGTGTGCACGAAATTAATAAAGAAAGGAACGGTATGGTGAATTTCATACTTTGTATAGTAATTTGAGAGACATCCTTCAAGATTTTTTGGATAACCCAGGATGTCTGTCAACTGTTTTGATTACATATTGGATTCAGCACAAATAAACTCTTCTGTATTGAAAGACATGCTGAAGACGTACTACCGTTTCTAGCGACAAGTTCAAACTGGCTAAACTTACCTGACGTCGCGAGTGAACCGTGCGCTCCGCCGCTAGTTCGACGTGAACACCAGTGTTGCCAACTTAGTGGATATTCCACTAGATCTGGTGGTTTAGATATACGTTTTAGCGGGCGAATTTTGGTTTTAGTGGCTAGTGGATTTTTCTAGTGGTTTAGTTTGTTTCATTCAGTGGTATGCTACGACATTTAACCACTAGCACGAGTGATATCTTTACAGGAAAAGACGAAAACGTTTACCTTATCAAGGAATATTTTGTCATTATGTAGGCAACTCTGTAAAATTACGTTCGTTATTTTCGGGAATTTTCCGAAACAAGTTTATCAATTTCTTAAATTATTTTGATTATGGGCTTTATTCGTATGACTAATGGGTCAAATTTGATTTGAATTAATGAGATTTGTATGTGTTCGTTTCGTATGCATGCACAAAAATAGAAATACACAACACAGATACTTAGTAGTTTTGGTTATGCTATGCATCGGAGCGAGCTTGTTTGTTTGCAAATGTTTAGTTTATTTTTAAAACAAAATGCCAAAACCGCAATATACGCAAAAGTTCCGGGATTGTTGGTTACGGGACTCCCAATTAAAGGACTGGCTGGAAGTGGTGGAAAGTACAGCTGGTGGAATTTTGGTACGAGGTGCTGGATTTCGAAGACATTGCAGGAGAAAACCGATTTGAAGATTTAGCCACGTTTGCTATATCTTTATTAGTTTTACCGCACTCTAATGCGTAGAGCGATTATTCAGCATTATGAATATCGTGAAGACAAAACACAGAAACCGAATGAAGCTAGATCTACTGTCATCTATTATGACAATCCGCGCAGGTTTAAAACGCGAAGGAAAGTGTTGCAATAATTACATCTTGCCAAATTATGTAGTCCAGAAAATAGGAACGAAAGAAATGTACTTAAAATCATAAGGTGCAGAGGAATCCGACTCTGCTGAAGATGATTTTTAACGATTTTGTATGTCTTCTATAAGTTTTTTTGTAATGAAAATAAACGAATTTTATAATTCAATTTACAATATTGTTCTTTTATTGTCAAAAAATATATCCTAGCTGTATGCTATCCATCTAAAGTAAAGAGTGACATAGTCCATAGACTACTGTTTACTTCAGTAAAACATGTGTTTCCCGCGGTAAAAACAAAAAAATAGTGCTCGCCGGCTGCTTGCCTAACCCCCTCCTATCTGCGGACATAAAAATCACATCGATCCTATATTTCCTTTCGGCGTGAAAAAAGGATAAATAAACAAACACACTTACATTTATTTTATTAGTTAGTGTGGATTTTAGTGGTTTTCTGGTGGGTTGCGACGGCAAAATTGGTGGGTTCGTTAAAATTAAGTTGGCAACACTGGTGAACACACACAAACATTTCACGCGTTTGATATTGCCGCGAGCGGCATGCGCGCGCCAGTCGCTACCTTGCCCCCTACTTAGACTTGGATATTACACCATATGTTTGATATTTCGTGACCACGCCCGCCACCGCGCCCGCGAGTCAACGTGAACAAGTACTAAGGAGTTTAAGGTTAACAATTTGTACGTATAATTATTCTGTAAAGTAAGTGTCTATGGGCGGCAGTAACACTTAAGATCAGGTGATTCTATAAAAACAATATTACAGTTTTAAAACCTTTAAGAATGTGTTTAATTAAAACTGTAAAACTCAATTAAATAATATATTAAAAACTCAAAAGATTATTATTTGAATATCAATCGGTGAATACATACTTATGGTGTCTATCAGGTTCGCTCTCACTTGTGTCAGACATGTCTGTTGGAAGCGTGTCTACCTCCCGATCTTCGCCTGCTAACCTTGCACCAGAACCATTTACTGAAATATAAAAATTATTTCTAAAACACATTAGAAAGAAACAAACGCTCCTTATGATTAAACATATATTCAAACAGAACAAAACAATTATAAACAAGAAGAATTATAGTACAATATAATTCTCCATAATTCTTGAAAATTCTTTAATGGTATCTTTATTTCATTGTATTTAAAGAACGAAAAGAAGTAGCAGAAATCAGTTGGTATCTGTTATATATATTAATTTCTTTAATATTAAGTTTATGTACCATAAAAATAAATATATCAAGATTTAGCAGTTTTGTTTTGACACATATTTTAAAGTATCTTAACTATAGGTATAAGTATATCTAATCATTTAAAAAAATTACTCACAAAGTGGCGGCGTAAATCCTCGTAAATCTCTCCCGTCCAGCCCATCGTGCTCCATAGACGACGCATCCACGGCCTCCTGATAGACGAATATTTTATTTTAGACAACTAAATACAATATTTCGTAAGATTTAATATCTATATATATAAAAGAAAGTCGTGTTTGTTACAACACTTATAACTCGAGATCGGCTGGACCGATGTTAGTTATGTCTTTTTTGATGGATTTTTCTCCACTCCGAATAGCAGAATAAGTAATAAAATATCGGATAAGTTATCGAATAACAATAATTAATTTTACGAATGCACACGGCATGTGGTGACATTTGTTGACAAAACTACGCATCATTTTACGTCGAATTCGTGTCACTTCAAGAAATTCCGAACTTGAGGTAAATGAGGAGATGCATAACCAGGCTTTGATCTTGATCGAAAACATGTGTTACCTCATCAAAAAATGTTGTAAAGCAGAAAGTGCTTTAACATGCAGTATCGCAATATTGGCGATAGAGAGAAGAGGCCTAATGTGTAAAACTGCCATCCTTCTTTTGCAATGGCAAGCAATAAAACATTTCTCTACTTGCAAAAAAAGTTATCACCTTAATGGAATCCTATAAGTTTAACTAAAGTAACAACGATATTATTATTAAGGCGGAACGAAGTTAGCCGGGTCAGCTAGTTAAAAATATATAAAACATACTCTCTCCTTTAATACAATGGAAGTAAAAGTAAAGTAACGTTATTACGTTTCGTATTACTTAAACAATTTAATACATAGTTAAAAGTTCATCCTTTTCTACGTATACAGTATAGTATGTTTAATTGTAAGGTATATTCTTATCTAGGACCAAATCTAGTTGACTTTAAGAAGTGTAAACATAACAGCGGGAGTTGAAAAGTGTTTATGAAAATGTACAATTGATAGCTTACATTGCTGTTACGCAGTCCGAATCTCTTCATGATTTCATTGCAAATAAATATTATCACTAACCGTAATCACTTATCGTAGATAAACTATCGTATGGCTTAAGCAAAATCATATTCTATATTTGTCCACAACATCTATACAAATATTACTTTTAATTAGGAAGCAAAGCAAAAATTTAAGACATTTTTTTTCATTATCCATGTATTAAAAGAAACCAATCTTAAATAATTCGGATAGTAAATTAAGAAATCCAAGAAGTGAATTGTCGCAAATAATATTTTTATAGTGAATGATAACAAATACGATATCTGATATACTTTTAAATAATATATTAGTCACGCTTCCTTATAGTACCTGTTCAATTGTTTTTATGGCATATTAATTAATTGTTATTAATTTACATAAATTATACATTCAAAAATTCACAACACACAGAGAAAGACGACAATTTTAAGTAATAATGAAGCAATATTGCTAATTGGCAATGGTCAATGGTAGAAGTGATATACCTCTGAGGTGTCAGGTTGTGGCTGAGGATCGTCAGTGTCGCGCGTGTATCCCTCGTCGTCAGAATCGAACCCAAGCTCCTCGCCGTAGCACGTGTGCACCTAACATAAAACCAATATATAATTAAATCAGGCCCAAGAAACTCTACCTAATCAAGGACCGCACGCAAATTTTCTGCTCGCGATACTCCCTAAATTCTACCCATACATGGATTTACAATGTACGGTTTTCGTTTGTATGAAATGCAGTAGGGTTCTAGAATGAACCAATAAATACTATTATATTTATATTACACGCATTATTTCCAGTCACCCAACAAAAGAATGCCCTGTCCTGCGGACTAACGTTGGAACCAGATTCCAAGAGTAATCAAATATCCTTTAATACATACGTATTTGTATCCAAAACGTGCGTTAAATAAGATTCGATATTTTACTAAACTTTTATTGAAATACTTTTAATTCCCGATCAAAACTGAAAGTGACGCGTGTCCCATACAGGAGAAGACAACACACTAATCTCAATGTTCATTCGTCCTTGATTCCATGTTAACATTTATAATGCTATACCTCACGCGACACACTGGCCGTAATATTTTTCATAAAAAATGGGTTTATGTATTTCAATAACTATTACCTTTTAACAAAACACAAAGCAAACTGGTAGCAAGAAGCTCTTACTTACATTACAATCAAGATGTTGATGAGTTGATTTTGGAAATTATAAAAACTCATTTAAAAAATTACCGACTTCAAATACCTAGATAAGTTACAACATACATTTTTCTTCAATGTTTTTTTTTATAAAAGAGGAGGCAAACGGGCAGGAGGCTCACTTGATGTTAAGTGACACCGCCGCCCATGGACACTAAAATTGCCAGGAGGCTCGCAAGTGCGTTGTCGTCCTTTTAAGAAATGGAACGCTGTTTTGTTGAAGGACCCTAAGGCAACCCCCCCCCCAAAAACGGGGGGGGCCCTAAGTCGAATTGGTTCGGAAATACTTCGGTGGGCAGCTGGTTCCACGTAGTTGTGGTACGGAAACTGCCTTAGAAAACGCTCAGTTGTGGAACGTCGAAGTGATACGGAGGGTATTTTGCCTTGACTTCCGATGTGTCTTATACCCATATATCAAAAACTACTGAAACGATTTTGGTGACAATGTCTCTTTCCTAAATGTTCGACGCTAAGAGTATAGCATAAAAATAGAAATGAGAACTATCAGGAGATTTAAGTAACTAAGTTAAATTTTGTGTCTGGTTTGAAAAATACTACCTATTAATATATGTTCATCAGAAAACAGGAGTTTATAATTTATGACCCTCCAAACTAAACCAGGAAACACTATACAACAATGATTTTGAAATTATTTCTAATAAGTACTTCGTATCTATGTATAATTTAGCTTAAAATAAATTACGAATTTATATACAATTTATGTAATTGGTTTAAAACAAATAGAATATAACCATATTTTAAAACCTTGTTTCGTGTCGTGTGTTTCGTCGTAAGGTGTTTGACCAAGTTTTGAAATTCTAATTCGTTTAAAATCAAAACAAGTCGGCCACATACAAAATATTCCACAATTTCCAATATTTTACATAATTCAATACTGCGCACAATAGGAGAACGCGAAAGTTTTTGGGGACGGTAGATGGCCATTTTAATTAATTATTCGTTTAGTATAAATAGGATTTTGTTAGTTAATATTGACAATATGCCAACATAGCAAAGTTACAATGACGAACTAATATAGTTTTATATGTAAAATACGTAGTTGGTCCCAAAGTTCTGTCACTGGCACATTATATTTAAATTTCGAATATGAATGTTTGACTATTGTTTTAAAACAAAGCAGCAAGCAGGATTCAGCGCCTGCACACAAAACCAAGACCACTAAATCCTGGTTTGAGCGACAAAACATCGACTTAATTAGACATGAGGATTGGCCTTTCTCCATTCCGGACCTTAATCCTTTGGACTATAAAATTTGGCAGGTCTTAGAGAGCAAGGTCTGTGCCTAAATATACCATAAACCCTGTAAAATTGACGACTGCGTGCGTGCTGCGATAGGCGACTAGCCGCGGCGCTCAAAGGCCTGTATTAAAAATAAGGGAGGTCATTTTGAATAATTTTATGCTATTTCTATTCCTTAATTAATGTTGTTTAAATTTATATATCACTCATTAAAAACTCATCAGTACTTTTGTTTGTATCATTATTTCCAATTATTACAGAACTTTGGGACCGACTACGTAGTAGTCTAATCCTGGAGCTATTGGTGATATCAATATTAAGTTTTCGTACAACGTATTTCTTAGTATGCGACAGAAGCGCTACTACTGAAAGACTTTATTGAAGGTTATATGTTATAATAAATCATCGTTGTCAGCATAGCCGTAATTGTCCAATTAGATCATACTAAATAAGAAGACATCGAATGCCCGGAGGTAAGGGGAAGATAGAGGAGTGTGGAGACCGCAAGTCGATGTATAAGTTAGGGCTTTTCGAGACTGGCTCTAACCTTCAATAGTATAAATTACGAAGCAGAAATCAGAAAGCGGAGTTGAATGATTACGCCTTTACTTTGCAGTTGTAACTATGAGTTAATTTTTTATGCAAATAGAAGACATTCTAAATCACATCAAAATTAAATTTAGTATGAAGAGATCAAAGTATTTTTTCTAATCGGTTTTATAGCAATGTTTATTTGTTAGTTTTTTAAGGAACATATCGCAACCGATAAAGAAGATGCTTTAGTCATTTGAAAAAAAGAAAAATATTGGAACAGCTTCTCACATATATCATAAAAACAGCACAAAGACTTGCACGAACTCTAAAATTCATTCGACTCTGCAAAAAGCCTTGTGCGGCTAATATATTTCCGAATATATTCACAAATTAATGCATAAACAAAGAATATACTTAATATTATTTACTAATTCAAAATAAACAACTCACCCACTGCCATATTTCGGTTGTGGTAAGGGGCTGATCCATGAGGGCGTTCTGCCAGATCCTAAACAGCATCAGATAAGCCTTGTCCCGTCCAGAGAATGATGTTAGAAAATTCTTTTCCGAGTCCGTACATACTAGGATTGCATTTGGAATCACCTGCAAAATGTGGCTAGTTGTAAATGGACTTTCGAATTTTCCAACTTATACTTTATAAAATTTAATCGCTAAAAATGAAAGAAAAAAGTTGTAACAACGGGCACAATGGTTATTTTTTAGAACAGGTGGCAAACGGGCAGGAGGCTCATGGGCAAGCCAGAGTGCTCGCGAGTGCGTTGGCGGCATTTAAAGCGGGTCAATGTAGCATGTTGAGTATCACGATCAGTCGTATCGTATCTAGTATCTGTATCATAAATATGGACGCTCATTGTCCATGTCGTATATTTAAGGCGTATCTTGTAAAAAACGCGTCCATACTTATCAAATCTGTATCATGTCAGTGTATCGGCTTTAACTTTACAAATATAGACGCTTCACTTTTCTTCCATGTATCATGATGCGCGTGTCTTTCAGTGCACCTTTCCCTTCTCGTAATGTTCAGTCATGTCTTCGTTCCCAAACGGTTTAGCCATGTCAGCTCACAGTTTGGCGGTGACTAGCGCCTGTTATATTATCATTAATAGTATTTCAAAAAAGTTAAATCTAGACGTAGATGGCGCTGGAAGTGTTTAGAAACCGAAACAAACATGGTGGAAAACCATTGATGCGAGATTTAAAATTTCAGCATACCAGCGGAAAATACAAAAATTCACTCGCATGTCACCCATTGATGTTGTGTATTCCCTTTGATGATCGCGAAAAACAACAGGATGGTTCGCGGTGTATCAAATATCTATCCGATACAGTATCGTGATACAGTATCAAAATACGTCCATACCACCGATCGTGATACGCGTATCTGATACGAGGTGTATCAAGATACGCGCTTAGTGCGGATCGGGCCGTATCCGATACGGCATGTATCATAAACAGGTATCATTTTGCGTCCAAACTAACGATCATGATAGCCAAGCACCAACAGAACATACCCAAATGCTACAAATGTGGACCCGGTTTAAGAGATGGTACGCTCTTTTCTTGAAAGACCCTAAGTCGAATTGGTTCGGAAATACTTCAGTGGGCAGCTGGTTCCACATAGTGGTGGTGCGCGGCAAAAACTGCCTTTAAAAACGCTCAGTTGTGGAACGACGGACTTCAAGGTGATACGGATGGAATTTCATATCCTGCCTCGACGTCCGATGATGAAACTCAGCTACAGGTATTAATCCGAACAACTTTTTGTTAAAACATTTATAACTCGTAAATGTCAAGTCACAAATAATGAAGATGTATCCATATATATATTTTAAAAGCAACCCGAAATAATTAGATTTTTCCTTGTGTCTTCTCAAACACTTACCAGCGCAGTCTTCTCCTTAGTGATGGCAGTAACATCTTTCCACCTCAACGTCAAAGAGGTTTCCCAACCAAAGATGTTGGCATAGAAGCATAGGTAACTCTGGGACGCATATAACCTCCCGTGAGCAAGAATATCGCGCTGCATTGCACACGAGTAGTCTATAACATAAGTTAATGTTTTACTGAAATTGGATTTCACGCTTTTAACAGACTGTAAAGCCAGTTTTTAGGCATGTTTACCCGTTTCTAGAAACGAGGCTATTGGCCAGCCCTAAGCAACGTTCGTGGATATTTTATGGGACGGAATGGAATGAAAAATAGTAGGGGTACCTAGAAATAATTCAAAGCAGCAACTGGATTAAGAAAATCTATCAAAGTCCGTTCTTCTGTGAGTGAAACTTTTTGCGCGTCTTTCGCTGAGAGTTACATAGTGAATTTCATACAGAAGATAAGAACAGAAATCTATATCTTTCGTATATGAATATATATGTTTGAGGAACACACAGAAGTTAAAACAAAGTGTACAGACTACAAATGTAATTTACACCGCGGCTTTAATTGTTATTTAAAAAAAAAAAAATTCAAAGACTCGCGACTTTGTATAGAATGAAGTTGAAAATAGTCCCATACAAAATTAATTCCACGCAAATCGTAAGTTTGTCTCTTCGTTGGACAAATCATGTCGGACTAGAGATACTTTTAGATCAATCAAACGAATCATCGTTTTCATTGTTCGTTTCACATTCTCACCCCTCAGGTTTGTCTGTCTAATAAAGGTAATTATAACAACCTCGCTATATAAAGCAGCTTTTGGCTCTATCGAATGTGTCAATAAATATCGCACCTACTATGAGCCTCTCATCGTCTGGAAGATCCTTGAAGAGTCGTTTGAAGTCCTCCGACTTCGTCTTGTACGTGGGGTAAAGGGAATTGTACCAGCTCTTCTTCTTGGCACGCCCGCTGCCGTCCGAACTACGGGATCCCGGGTTGGATAACTGCTGCAAATATATATTTTACTAGACTACTACTAATGATGAATATGCACTAGATATTTATTTAGGGAGCGTTCAAGTATTAGGTCACGCAATTTTTGGAGATTATTGACCCTCCCCCCCATGTAACGCGCCGTAACGTTTTTCTGTACTGTACTAGTACTGTACCTAAGTATAGTAAAACGTTTCGTGACCACCTAGTGACTCTTTATACCTAAAAAATACCATTATGTGGTGTCGTACTGGAAAGTCGACAATAATATTAACAATAACGCGTAATTCAATCCCCGCTCCGTATCGTAACGTTTTACAAAAGGAACCCCTCGCTCCCTTATTTACACAATTCTGTTCTATCAGGTGACCAAATTAACTAGAATGCATAAACAATAAAGAAGTCACATATGAAATAAAAACAAGCTAAAGAATTATACAAGAGGAAAAAAATAACGAATTACTATACTGCACTGACAAATAGTAAAACTTTTGTCAGTTCACTCAATGGACAATAAAAAGAGTCAATATGTGCCTTTTTAGAAGATTAGTCCTAGCTGTGGGCACATTAAGTAACGGCGGACGATGTCGCCTTCTGACGTAAAGTTGTGTTTGAGGCTGAAGAGGGGGGTGAGAATGTAACGTTGGGCTAAAAAGTTTGTAGGCTGACACATAGATGGAGCTACTAGTATTAAATTAATATGAATTTTAGTTAGCCCTAACCTTCAAAAGACACGTGTATAAATTTGACAACTGTTGTACTATTAGTTTGACTGAATGAACATTTGTTTGTTTAAAAAATTTAAAAAAAGGAATTTCGTGTGTTGATAAAGCATTGATTTTAGAAAAAAAAAATAGGTACTATTGGAGCCAAGGCTTGGCTTGATGAACATTATTCGGACCCCGCACCAGAAACATCTACCGTTGTGGTTTTCTGAGTTTAAACGAGGCAGTGGACGCCGAAAAGAGGCTGTTATCGACGAAAACATCAAAAAAGTCCACAAAATAATTTTAACCGTAAAGTGAAGTTGATTAAGATACCTAAGATAAGATTAAGACCGTGTTGGATATCCTAGATAAATAATTGGATATGCGATATTGGATAAGCTCTGTTCACAGTGGGTGCCACCCGAGATCAAAGTCGATCAAAAACAACAACGAATGGATGATTCTGAGCAGTGTTTGAAGCTGTTCAATAGTAATAAATCCGAATTTTTGGAAAGATTTAACCCCGAACTACTTTTTCCTGTTCTCTGTTCGGTTTTTTGAATTTCATTGTCAATATTCTATGGACAGCTTTGAGTATTAAGCCAGAAAGGAGTCGCCTTTACGCGCGTCCCCCTCTGTCAAAGTACGAACCCGCTGGACATACGCGTTATATAAAACTGTTTCTCGACCCTTCCGCGCCATTCCGGTATGACGCTTGTTAGTGTAAAGAGCTCCGACAAAAATGACTGGATGCAGTGTATTCGGCTGTAAAAAAAGGTCTGACACATCGAGTGTACAAAAAGACAACGTGACATTTCATCTGTAAGTATTTTCTTAAGTAATATTATCGTATATTATAAGAATACGTGAAAATCAAATAAATATTAATTGCCGAGTAATGCCGAGTCAATGTTGCCAGTTTATTGCAAAGTTCCGCACTACGACGTTTTTTGTGGCTTAATTTTTTTATTTGCATAATTTTTTTACTAACAGATGGTACTTACATAGCGATCATATTGTTCAATGACTTAAGTAAATATGCTTTACTATTGATTAGTTGTCCTGTTCGTGGATTCGCTCACAAGTACTTTGAAGGTTTACCCGACACTTCAAATTTTCTTATTATACTAATGTCGTTAATTAATGAAGAAAGGACGTGAAAAATTATAAAAATTTATCACATGAATTTATCCTAATAATGGTTATTTTCCTAAGTTGGTAGTTAGCCACACCAACTCCGGTTTACGTCATTTTAGAGAGGAGACACATACTATTTTTTTATCGATAAATTATTGAACAAATGAACAATATAATGTAATTATGGATACATTTTTTTAGTTTGAAATAAAACAGTTTTATTTTTATTATAGATTTCCAAAAGACCCTATCCGTCGACAACAATGGATAAAAGCTTGTGAAAATCACAGAACATGGCTACCCAAACGTACAAGTAAAGTTTGCTCCGATCATTTTGATACGTCATGTTTCTTGTTGCTGGCTAACAACAAAAAAAAATTAAAGGAATCAGCAACACCTACTTTGAAATTACCAAATGTAAGTTATATCTAGTTTCGATGCAAACATGTAGGGATCTGTAATAACGTATTATGTATTCCATATAGTTTTGAACATCCACTGGAGTAACTAAAAAACGATTAATTGCTTTTCCAACACCAATGTATACCTATTCTTTACTTCAATGTATACCTTAAAATATAACGGTTTTCAGAAATTTATTCTGTCAACATACGAAGCAAATAGATCTTTATGATTCTTATTTTAAACTAACCTTCTACTTGCGAATTCGTCTGGGCGGATTTTGGATTGTAACAATTTTTTTACTATCCCTTGGGGACCTTACACATATCCGGGATAAATCATAGTCTGTGTTAGTAGTGCTTGTTCCCTACACCCCCCAAATTTCATCGAAATCGGTCAAGCCGTTAAGCGTGAAAGAGAAACAAACACAAATAAAAATTCATACTTTCACATTTATAATACTATAGTCCGCTTTACATTTGTGTAAGTGATCGCCAAAAGCATTATACCTTGTCTCCTTCAAACTTAAACACAATAACAAAATTAATTTGCAGCTCAATAACGCGTTCGTCATATAAGTATGACAGTACAAGATTGAAACACTGATTTAGTTTTACAAACTTGTTGTCGCGTTAACAAAGTATGGCGCGATTTGTTATTGAAGCGCAACTAATTTTGTAACCGTGTTTAAGATTGATAGAGACTTTATTGAGCAGGACCATCGCCTTTCAGACTGAGTATCAAACACCAGTAAAAACCGGTTCAAACACAGAAACAGGGGTTCAAACTACGCACAGGACGCGCGCGCTTCAAGTCGAGTGCAATTCTACACTATCCGTGTGCAGTCACATAGATACAAAGCTCAACTTACGCCTCACGGACTGTAGTAATGTTATTTTTATATGTTATTTTGTAGGCTGACTTCGAAAAACCAACCGATTGCCAAGCAGCGAAAAAAATGAGATTTGAGACTGAAACCTCGGCTAGTTCACCAGGCCACTCATCAACTTTTCGCTCTGAGTTATCATCAAATCATGTTTCACCTACTACAAGTACTAATGTTTCTTGTTATAAATTGGACCAAGAAACACCAAGAAAACGTAAATTAAGAAGAATAATAGTTCAAAAAAACAAACAAATTAAAAGACTTCAGTCGAAAACACGATATTTAAAAAAGAAAGTTGCTAGTTTAAAAGAATAAATTTTATCGACATTCCTTATCGACATGGTGGTAGCTCTAATTATCTCGGGATTGTTGCGTATGTGTGCTGTACATGTAACGTGTAAAGATACGATTTCTTTAAATGTGTGCGTTGCGGTTACTCTTGTGTAAGCAAATTAGGTTTGTGTGCGTGTGTACAAACATTGTGCAATTTGTTTCTGTAGTAAAATTTTGTCTGTGTGAGTGCCTCGTCCCCCGCCGATGTTTTGGCAGAAAAATTAATTAGCATCGTTCGAGTGATGGCGTCTCCTTTCTGGCTTAATACTCAAAGATGGACAGTGAAGAAGAAAACCATGTTGACCAATGGAAAAACCAAACTGAAACAATTACAAGTGACGACACGCCTTAGGTCTTTTCTGTGTGATATAAAATATTTTTGGACACCGATACAGGTTAACTCGATTTAAATTATACGTGTTCACTGAAACAACTTCAATGAAATAAATAACGACGCATTGGACCTTGAGAAATGTACGATTTTATTAGTTCTAGAGAAATCACAAGTTTTAAGTTATTTTAATAGAGTAATATTGTCTTAGGTTTATGTGAGTTTATGCGAAATTATGTTCAGGAATCCTAGTCTTAATGTTAATAATGTAATATATTCACTTGCATATTTTTTAGAAGAAATTTTATTTAAAAACAGGAAGTTGATCAAGTCGCGCCAGCCGGGGTTAATATTGATATTGAATCAACAGCAGTTTATTTTCACTAAGAGCGCTATAATACGTATGTACGCCATTTTTGCTGTATATAATTGTGTATTTATGCAATTACTACACTATTTAGCGATATATTTGGATAGATTTTTTGTAACATTCCATATTTACCTTGTTATATTCAGGTTTAAGAGAGGCGGGCAACCCCATATCCACAGAGAGTGGACCATCGCCAGCTGCGATGTTTGATACGTTGATTGAAATATCACTTTTCTGTAATAATACGATTTAATTCAAAGTCATTACATTTTACGCTCGATGGGATGATGACATCAAAAAATCGCGGGTCCTCAATGGATGGAAATAGCTCGGGATAGAGAAAGATGCCAAACCTTGGAGGAGGCCTTTAGGGAGCGTTCAAGTATTATGGCGCGTCTAAACGGGCCATGTTTTGCTGCAATTGATGGCTGCAACACTGTGGCCGGCAACATTGCAAACAATAGCAGCCACACTATGCAATATTGCAGTAATGTCCCGGCCATATAGCCAAACATGTTTTGTATAGCCACATATGGCCGATGTTGCCCCGATGGGTGGCCGGACGATCGCTAGGCTATCGAATTCAACTGCAATATTGCACAGCCAGTTCTCTTGTTGTTTCAGTCACTCTCTTTGTTATGGCATAGTGTATCCTTTTCTACGCGACATGACGTTTGCTTTGAGTGAAGTGTGCGTGTTGCTTTATTCTGTGTTTTGCGATAAGCTGTATTTGACGTTAGATTACTACGTAAAAATGACTACTTTTGACATTCTAGTTCTTGAATAATTTATTATCAAGACTTATTTCTAGACTCAAATTGTCTACAGTTTCACGCCTATTTAAGTAAGGTCGAATCCACAATCTCTTCTTTTTCTGTTTCTTTTTTAAAACAATATAAGCTGCTGCGACAAGTGTGATTTCGTCAGCCATTGTTGTAGGTTTGTGTAGCCCGTTTAGGAGTCTGCATCATGGGCCATACTATTGCATTGCATAAAATATTTTTGTAATGGCCGGCAATTAGTGGCCAACAGTGCAGCCACAATTGCAGCAAAACATGGCCCGTTTAGACGCTCCATTACGTAACGAATTTTGGGAAGGGGGGGGGGTCATTTTGTAAAACGTTACGATGCGGGGCGGGGACTGAATTACACGTTATTGTTAATATTATTTTCGACTTACACCACATAATAGTAACTGAAGAGTCACTAGGTGGTCACGAAACGTTTTACTATACTTGGGTACAGTACTGTACTTGGGTACTGAAAAACGTTACAGCGAGTTACATGGGGGAGGGGGGGTCAATAATCTCCAAAAATTGCGTTACGTAATACTTGAACGCTCCCTTACCGGAGAGGGTTCCTGATACATACTAACTGTTAAAAATATTTACTAACACATAGGATAATCAGTGTGACAGGAAATAATTTTTGGCTAAAAATAAACATTTTACAATTAAGGATTAACCAGTTTTTACTGTTTCAAGCAGTGTTAAATTTAAAATTTAAAATAAAATACAATATATACAAAATTCTAGAACGGATGAAACTATTTCTATTCTGTAAGTGAAATTCTGTAGTTATGTGTGCTATGGGATATAAAGGAGGCATATTGTATCGATATTTATAATGCATAAGTATAAACTCAAAAGTAACAAGACAAGACACTTACTCCATCATTATCGTAGTCTAAATGGTTTTCCTTGCACTCAGTGATACGAAGGGATGGAGAAGGAGACCTGGACAAATTTCTGAAACGTAAGAGAATCAAGTTAATTATCATTATGTATCTTGGTTAATTCAGGGTCACTATCTTACGGGAGTGCCAGATTCCTTAAGAGGATTACCTACGGACACAGAACCAACATGAAGACTCTTCGAGAATTACTGTAAGACCTTACAGTAAACAGCAGTTCTCGTCACCAAATTTACGTCATATAATTAAGTAATTACATTTTAATTTTTAATATGACGTCATAAATTAAAACACGAATTATCAAGACACGATATCTGACGTTTAATGATGGCCAGTTGCGAAATAATCCGCATTGATACGTGAAAACAGCCAACTGGGTTATTTTATGAAATATAAAATCTTATCATGTCATATAGCAAAATTCCTACATAAGCAACGCTCAGAATAGTTTACAAAACATAATGAGATAAAGGAATTATAGGACACAGATTAATAATAATTTTATTACCACATTCTATATGTAGACAAAGCAATGCCAACCTTATCGATTTAGAAAACGTGCAAAGGTAATTGACTTTATTATTTTATATAGATTTGTAATTGTTATTATTGACCAGGAGTTCTATACTAACTCAAAAGGAGGTTCCATGTTCGACGATTACCGTAGTTCAAATGCTGACAAAAAAGTTTTATAGTAGTTGTATACTTATAGATTTGAATATTATTATCAGTGGTAGCTCAAACCTTATTAAAATTTGACGGCTATCATTCAATTTTTTTTATTTATTATTAATATTTATTACAAACAGATAAGTTTCGTTGAAATAAGGGGCTTTTTAATTATTAGTTAAATTAAATTTAATGTTTGGTTTAGCTCGATTTAAAATTTGTCGTCATATTTTTCTTTTTTTTTAAACATTGTAAAGAAATCTCGCCACCAGCATTCTCGATGATGACCATTTCGTGAAAAAAGTCAACAAATTTAAGAAAGGTAATGAGACGTTGCGTAACCGTGAAGTCAACCAAGCGTTAACGACATCGCTTCTGGAAATCGCGATTTGAATCTTAATTGAGAATATGAAAAATATTTGCTTCAAATATAAACGATTATTGAAAGATGAATTTCCACTTTCAATTGCAGTCATTCATTATCCATATAACTGAGAAATCCATAGATGATCTCAACACAAAAACTATTTATATAATTTTCAAAAATTTAATAAAACATGTCCTTATAAGAAAAAGTAAGGCTGTATTTATTTTAAAAGAGTTATTTATATTCGAGTAAATAAACCTTATATATTTAGATTTTATAAAGTTTGTTCTATAAACTTTTCTTCTAAAATCTTTTGTATATACTATTCATAGATGACGGGATCTTAAAAATTTACTGTTTAGCTATTCCATATTCTACGTAGGTATATAAAAACTAAAATATAATTGCATCAGCAATTGTTTTGCAAATAATACATTTTAAATTATTCTAAATGCTTTACGCAATTACAACAACAAGTAAGCAAAACTGTACGCTTAAATCAAAGTACAGATTTAAGAAAACATGTATGTACATATGTAATTAATATAAACACATCAATCAAATTCGTACCTATTAAGTTTGAACATTAAAGCAACACCACACGCAAACTACCTGAAAGAACTGGCTAGTTAGCAAAAACATGGATAGTTATTTGCAAATTATTTTTGGGCGCGACCTTGTCCGATAATAATATCTGCGTTTCCACATCAGAATAATGAGACGTCGGAGCAATTTGGTAAAATCCCATTATATTCGCCAGATTCAATAGTCTACGCTATAAAATGTTATTGGTTAATGGAAGTAAAATTTATATGTTGGATGTTCAGAAAACGGCATAGCTTTTTGAAGTTTCTTTAAAAGCAGAAGGTTTAAATTTGGAAAGGCGTGTTGTGGTATGGGGTAAGTATAATATAATAAGAGATTTTTGTGAATTTTATTATAGGCCTAAATGGGAATAGCAGATCAGTTTTTTATGTTATGATTCTACAAAACCAGCAATGTTCGGTTGGTTATCGCAGTAGAAAACTTACCTATTTCAAGCACGAACAAAAGAGTTACAATAGATCCAACACATTCAGTTTTTCAAGGCAACTTCGTGACTAACACTGCCTCTGAATAGTTTCCCCAACTGCACTTTAGGTATTGTCAAGTATTACCTAAGGCTACTTGGCAAACAGCACCCTTAGTTTATTTTTTTTTTAATTTGTTAATGCCATTTTTAGTGTTGACGTGAGGAACTTTTTTTTGTTTTACATAAATTGTGAATTACGACTTAATAAAGATTGTATTTTTCTATCTACATAGAGTGTAGGCAAAATCGCGAGCAGTCCGTAATATCATACGAACGTTATTAAAACTACTAATTTAATTATTGGTTGGAACTTCAGACTGTCAGTATCAATATTCAATGTAAATTAGTTAGCTGCTTCTGTTGATATTTTCATTAGATAGATCGACACGTAATGTGTTGAAATATTATATATATATATGAATAAGCCTATGTTAAAAACACAAAATGATAAGCAAGACACTATATACAGTGAAATGCACATAAAATTAAAATTCTAGCTTTACCTAGTAATAAGAACTTTCCACATGGTCTCCATTTGCTTATAGTGCACTTGGTAAGAATCACGACTAATTTCTTTAATACCCATTTTCTTAAGTAGATACTTAGCCACACATTAATATAATTTATATAATATATATGCCGCAACACTTTTACATAGGAATGAATTAAAGATAATGTAATTTAATTAATGTTTAAAGTATTTTATTCTGACAACACAATGAGCAAATACGTGCGATTATTCGAAACCACGAGTAATAATTATTATTTTATCTGACTCTAATCAAGAGAGCTGTAAAGATAACAGTGGCAAAATACAAACATTTGTAAGTCTTGATACTCCGCAAAATCAAATTCACAGACAATACAGAAGAAAAATAACCATTAAACACATGCAAAAGTAATTGTTGTAAATTTATTGCCTCTGAGCAGTCCAAAGTTGCACTTTAAAATATAGATAGAACCTGTATAGTGTGCCAACTAGGACAAAATATAATGTTCTCTATTGGAGATAATTTTTAAGATATTATGATTAAGTTACAAGAAGAGCAAATAAAATTAGTGGCTTTTTGGTGTTTTTGTTCTCTATGTTTATTTATAATGTAAAAATATAAATATATATAATAATATACAATAATAAAAACCTATTTATGTCATTAAAGATAAGGATCAAATGTCTTTATTGTATCTGTTATTATGTTATAAAATAAACATATGTAAGAAAATAGTTAATATTATAATAATAATAATATCAAAACAAAAATCAATGATAACCTCTTTCAAACCTTAAAGATAACGCCAATGTTTTGAAACCTATAAACTAGGATATTTAGTCTAACCTAAATACTACTTTGTTTGAAATATATTGTAAAAACCATCATTGATATTTTGAGTAAGTTCTAAGATTACTAGGATAACATTTGTTCACCAAAGCTCATACAGACTAAAATTAAGAGTTTCTAATCACAATTGCTACAGAGAATATATAGCTAACTGAGACCACATATATAAACATTCAACCATACTAAAATTTGTCTGCATTTGTTTATATCAATCCCAAATGATACACATTGAAATGCATTGTTATAATTTCACATTTCTATATATTATTATTATTTATATTGCATTCATTATTATTATTTTCAAAAGTATAAAATATAAACCCTTTTATGAATAATTATGTTACAGTTTCCTTAATTATCTTAGAAACAAACAAAATACCATCTTACCTGTTTTCTTGTTGTTGATTGTTGCTTATGCCAGAAAAACTAAGTGCTTGGCTAATACTCTGTCCTATTGCATCTTGAGATGAAACTACCAAGTTTTCTGCTGATTTTCTCCTGTTAAATATTTTTATAAACATAAACTTAAAACCATGTATGAATTCATATTAAGAGCCTAGTTTTATGTTAATTTTTAATAGGGTATTGATATGACCCAAACACATAAACATGAAATAAACGTTTTGTCTTTCACTGTGTTTATAAGTCAACTTCTACTTTAATATTTATAAACTGTTACTAGACAACAACAGAGGCGTAACCAGGGCGTTATCAAAAAATTTAAATAGTAATGAAAATTTGCAATGATAATACAATGCAAACAAGTAATCATACTTGAGCATCTATTTGTTATCTCTAAGATATTGGTATATGAGAATAAACACAGTGCTCCACTGGTTTTAAAATATATATACAATATTCACACACATCTAAAAAAAATATTAAAATTTACAACTTACACGGATAAAGCTACGTTTCGGCTCTCGAGTTCTGAAGAAGTCATCTCAAATTATTTAAAGTGTTTAGTGCTTCTTTAATTTGTACTTCAGTGAGCTGCGACTTTTTACTATTCTTATTATCATTATCTAAATTATGATACCTATTATAACATGTACCACTTTTTCGCGATGTAAAAAATTGCAAAACAAAACTCACAAAGCACTCAGCAATCAGCATCGATTTACAAATCAAATCTACTTTTTTCTAAGTGTCAGACGTCAGTGGACCATGCTATGTCAAAGTAATAACTGACAGACGACAGAGGGTTTGAGAGTCGAAACATGAGAAATAAAAATAGATTTCAGTGAATGTCATGGTATGGTAGTGTTGATCAATTTGTTTTTAATACACGTGATTGAAAATGCTTTAAATTCTATTTGAAAAGTTTTAAATGAAGTTAGAATTTTTTTGCTAGTAAAGCATAATGGCAGATGATGCAATTTTCGATAAGAAAAAGTCCCATCGGGCTAAACATGCGGGACGTAAGGCCGAAAAGAAGAAAAAGAAAAATCAAGTTGATCAATCTAACCTAAGTGCTCGACAAAGAAATCCTAAAGCTTTTGCTATTCAATCAGTGGTGCGAGCTGAAAGGCAGTTTCGGCGCAAAGAAGACGTTATAGCCAAAAAACAGCACATACCACAAGTGGACAAAACTCCCCTTGAGCCTCCTCCTATCGTTGTCGCTATTGTAGGCCCTCCTCGCGTCGGAAAAACAACTCTTATAAATAATCTAATCAAAAGTTTTATTAAAACAAATGTTACTAGTACAAAAGGCCCAATTACTATTGTCACTTCGAAAAAACGGAGAATAACGTTGATTGAATGTAATAATGATGTTAATTCTATGATTGACATTGCCAAGTGTGCTGATTTAGTGCTGTTATTATGTGATGCAAGTTTTGGATTTGAAATGGAAATATTTGAGTTTCTAAATATCTGCCAGGTTCATGGAATGCCTAAAATTATGGGTGTTCTAACCCATCTTGACATGATAAAAAATCCCAAGAAACTAAAGATGACCAAGAAAACACTTAAGCATCGTTTCTGGACTGAAGTTTATCAAGGAGCAAAGCTCTTTTATTTGTCAGGTATTATTCATGGAGAATACTTGCGGAATGAAATAAAAAATCTGTCAAGGTTTATTTCAGTCATGAAGTTTAGAGCTCTTAGCTGGAGGACGACTCATGCTTATGTATTAGCTGATAGAATGGAGGATATAACCAGCCAAGATAACATAAGAAAAGACCCTAAAGTGAGCCGAGATGTAGTCTTATATGGATATGTTAGAGGTGTGCCATTAATGAAAGACTCAACAGTTCATATAGCAGGTTAGTTAATTGTATACTTATTAATTCTTTATTATTAACAGTAAGAAAGACTTATAGAATATTATGATCATTAATAATCAATAGTATTTTTTATGGTAACTGTATATTGTTTTTCAGGTGTTGGAGACATGAAAATAAATGAACTTTCTTATCTACCTGACCCATGTCCATTACCAAACAGTCAAAAGAAGCGACATTTGATGGAACGAGAAAGACAAATATATGCACCATTTTCTGGAGTGGGTGGGATAGTTTATGATAAGGATGCTGTTTACATTGAACTAAAAGGTTCCCATTCACATAAGGCAGAGGATGAGGAAGCAAATGAGAAGCAATCTCTTTTAAAAAATGTTGTTGAAACTAAGGAGACAGTTGATGAACAGATGCAAGAGACTGGGTTTAAGTTATTTAGTGGTGGTGCAGTTATATATCCAGATATGATAAAGGATGATGAATATTTATCACACAATAAGGCAGATGACAATAGCTCTGACAACACAGATTTAGAAAGTGATGAATCTGATCATGACAGTGGTATTGACCAGAGTGAAAAAGAATTAAAGAACAAGTTACCCTGGGAAAATGTTACCGACTCTGAAGCTGAAGATATAGAAGAAAAATCTAATGACCATAATGAGGAACAAAACGAAGAAAGTAGTGATGACAATGAACAAGACTTTGGTTCAAAATGGAAAGAAAAATTAGGTGAAAAAGCTACTATGGCATATTTTGAACGACAAAAAACATCTCAAAATATAATGAAACTTGTGTATGGTGAATTTGAAGTTGGAAACAAAACAAGTGAACATACTGTAGAATCACATGAAGACAGTGAAGACGAAATTGGTGGCTTATTTAAGAAAGTAACTAGTTCACAGAAAAGCAAACAAAAAGCTAAGGACCAATTAGATGAAGATGAATGCTCTTTCTTTTATGCTCTTGATAAACCTGTTATTAGAGATTGGACAACTGAAACCAACAAAGAAAGCTTAATTAACTGCTTTGTAACTGGGAAAAGATCTTCTGATGAAGATGCAGAGGAACTTCTTAAATTAGATGATGCAAGTGACGGAGATGATGAAATGTTTGGTGATTTTGAAGATCTAGAAACTGGCGAAAAACATGAAGCCGAAGAAACAGACAAGTCAAATGAAGGCTTAAAACGAAAAGCGGACCTATCAAAATCTGAGATATTAGATAAAAAGTTAAAATTGAAAGCTAAATTTGATGCAGAATATGATAATCCTGATGACCATAGAATAAAAGGTGATCATTCTTATTATGAAAACCTTAAAGCTGAAGCTTTAAAACAATCTGAATTAAATAAATCAGTCTTTGAAAACTTAGATGATGGACTAAGAGTTGAGGTGGAAGGATTCAGGCCTGGCCTATATATTCGTATGCTTTTCAAAAATATGCCTTCAGAATTTGTTACAAATTTTGATGAAAGCTACCCAATATTGATAGGATCATTAAATATGGCTGAACAGAATATTGGATTTGTATCTTGTAAAGTCAAAAAACATAGATGGTATAAAAAGATATTAAAAACCAATGACCCATTAATTATTTCACTCGGTTGGAGACGCTTCCAAACATTACCAATATATTCAAAAATAGAAGACGATCTAAAATGCAGATATTTAAAATATACACCTGAGCATGTCACATGCAACATGCATTTCTATGGACCTGTCACACCACAGAACACCGGATTCCTGGCCCTACAGACAGTTACTAATAGCACCAACGAAATAAAGCAGTTGGGCTTTAGAATTGCTGCTACTGGCAGTGTAAACGAAATTAATAAATCTACCCAAATAATGAAAAAACTAAAACTGATTGGGACACCCTTAAAGATTTATAAGAAAACAGCTTTTGTAAAAGACATGTTTTCCAGTACCTTAGAAGTAGCTAAATTTGAGGGAGCAAGGGTAAAAACTGTGTCTGGAATTAGAGGACAGATTAAAAAAGCTCTGAATAAACCTGAAGGAGCATTTCGTGCTACATTTGAAGATAAAATACAAATGAGTGATTTGGTGTTCTGTCGGACTTGGTTTAAAGTAGATGTGACTAAATTTTATGCGCCAGTAGTCAATTTACTGCTTCCGATAGGAAACAAGAACGCATGGCAAGGAATGAAGACAAAAGGACAATTGAAACGCGAGAATAATATCAAGTGTGAAGCAAATACAGATTCCATGTATACTGAGATTGTAAGACAACCTAAAGTATTCAAGCCATTAGTGATTCCTAAACAGCTACAGAAAGGACTTCCCTATAAGTTTAAACCTAAGAAAAGTATCTTATCGACAAGTAACAAAAAAGATATATTTAAGGACAGGATAGCTGTCATCAAGAATCCTTATGAGCAAAAAGTATCAAATGTTATGACCATGATAAAAACAAACTACAACAAAAAGAAGAAGGACCAAAAGGTAGCGACAAGGGAGAGAACACACAAGTTTAAAAAGCAGAAAGAAGAAGAGGAGTGGCGAAAAATCAAACGTCAAAAGGAGTTAAAAAAGAAAATTTGTAGACAAATAAGTAAAATGTCAGGGAAGAAAACACCACAAATGTAAACTTTCAATCAAATTTGTAAAGTTGTTGTTACTTACTTCAGTAAATGAGTTTTCCATACATTGGTTTTTATTATTTTTTGCTTCATATCAAGATATGTATGTATAAAAATATATTATAAGGATTAAACATAAAGTTAAACACACTCACATTCATACTTAGCCTTTTAAAGGTTTTAGGTAACTTACTATTTTTCTAGTGATTTCTGTAAGAGGTTCAGTTATGTTACAAATAAATCTTTTAAGTCTTGGCCTCAATTTCTGCATTTTGTTGCTCTATACGCAAATCACTCTCCCTGATCTTTCTACAGTCAAGTATCAACGTCGTGTCTACAGTTTTCATGTTAATGTTTTACTTTCTCATGTTTATCTGTTATTAACTTGACATATTAATTAAAAGGCGCTTCTCAACAGAGCCGTAGTATACCGTAAATAAAACAAGTTATGATATTGTGTAAATTGTATTTACCTCTTATCATTATGCATAACGTAAGTCATCGCACGTTGGTAAGTCTTTACAAAGGTTACACAGTTCAGATTACATTGGTCAACACAATAGCTGAATACAATACTTGAATGCCCCAATATCTCGAATATTTCAATTTAAACAGGAGGCGAAGCGCTAACTCACACGAAGCCTGGAATGTGACCGCATACAGTCTGATACGTCGCGGTACCCTTAACCGTCGATATAACATGCAAAAATTATATACAATTTTCTATCACCCTATATAACATTAATTCCTTATGAAGGTAACTGTACTCTTTGGTTGCGCGAGCCATATTCTGTCTGGAATGTCACTATTACAAAAAATATACTAAATATTGTTATCTAGCTGCGTCCGTTGGCACTTGTGGAGTTTCGGATACTACACGAAAGGAACGATTTATCGGATCTGTATTGCCTCAATTCGTTACATAAACCTCTTAACGTCTACGTGGGAGGTACTGAATATAATTCAAAAAGTAATGGGTGGAAATTTTGTCTATAGATAGGATCGATACAAAAAATGGCTGCGTCTAGATTCACAAATTATAACTTTCGAATGATATGCGCGCTCGCCGCCTAGAGCAATTTTCCCTCATTCAAACCGGTCACAAATTCGCAACGATATTGAAACCGATCTGTTCCGAAACGATTTGACTAGCCGCCGCAATTTAACTATATTATAGCACTAATACATGTGACCACCTATCAATTCTCTAACATATTAAAATAAAAAATTTAGGTACTGGTTTAAAAATAAATAATCGCTATCTATTTCATTCCCATTAGATACATTTTGATATTATTCTGTAATACATAAACGGGTGCACTGGATATCTAAACGATCACACACCTAACATTTTAAAACTGAAAATTTTCGAAACATCCCTACATGCACTTAATACTTAAAAGATTGTGCGTCCAAACTTCAATTTTTATTTGCCAATTCAAGTCGATCTAGTTAATTTATTTAGTGCGTGGTCACATTCTAATTATTATAATACTGTTCATAATATATATCGTTTCGATAAATCTATAACCAGGTAAAGTCAAATACAAAAGTGAAATTTGCTCGACGACTTTTGCACTTGACAGTCCAACTAAAACAACTATTTAGGTACATATAAAACATTGTGATATTTCGACAACCGTTAGAATAAGACAATATGAGGTAATATGTATTCATTTACCGAATGCGAAGCATTAATAAATAATAGTCTACAAATAAATTAAGCAATATAAAAACAAACGTCTAGTCTGAACACATCCTAGCTAGGTATTGCTACGATATATAAACGCTATGTATAAACCATATTTACAACAATAGATTCGGTTAAATTATATTAGTATAACTATACAATAGTACAATTTATTACTTATCTAGTTCATTGAGGCGGTGTACGCTAAAACACATTTTTTAAATCTTCTATGTTGAGTTGAATATATATTAATTGGAAACGTTCATTAGGTTACACATTTTAAGTTTATTATTTCCGGATATTTATTATAAGTGAATTGATGTAGTATATAGCGTACACCGGGTCAAAAAAGTGATGTCTGTACTACCAATTAACAAAATATGTCCTAACTACGTAGATATAAAAGATTACAAAATGACGCGTCAACACTGTACACGACTGATGTATGTATGCTTCCAATTTCACTTCAAAACCGATTAATACGATTCAAAATAAAAACGTCTGTAAGTATCATAATATCATTCACACTAAAAAAATTGGTTACAACTAAATTTTATAGAAGTTCCAGAATTTTTATCACATTTCGAATGTGTCGCGAGAATAACAAGGATAAATCGTTTAAAATGGTGATACACAATTTTCTAGTACTTTTTCACTTTCGTATTTAAATACGTACGAATGCATTATTTGGTAATAAAAGTTAAATTCCTAGAAATTCAAACATTTTTTCTCTGCATTCAATCCAAAAATAAAGAAGCATACATATCTACTAATATTAGCTATGTACATACACAGTAGCCTTAACCAGGCACTTTGATGTTAGAACACTTAAATACACTCAGACAATGCGCCAATGTAAAATAATTTAAAAATAAATAAGTAATGTCGTCTCCCGAGAATATCCTATTAAGGCTTAAGCGAGTTAACTTTCATTAAATATTGGAATACATTTGTATTTAAGTACATAGGAAATCTACGTTAGAGCACTTCGTTACATATTGTAAAGCGTCACGCTAACCATCAATTATATAAAATTTTACCTTAAAATAAAATTGTTATTCTCTCAGATATTCAGCTCCAATATAAAATAGTTCTAAAGCCATGTTTTACCTTTAACAATTAATGTATTGTATCTAGAAATGTAAAGATGAAAGTTTTACTTGATACGAATTATTTTTGATCTCTTTTGTTCAAAATAGCATTTAAACTATTTTAATATCAGAGCTCGAATAACAACAGTAAACACATTTCCTTTCATAATTAACAATGGCAACACTATCGGGACAAAGTGTATTGACTAGTTAGTGTTCCCGACAGTGTTGCCATACGAATCGGAGACCAATATATACAAAACCGCCTTCGCGACAGAATTACCTCAAGCGTCTCATTTCACTCAGGGATCAGATCTTGCAGTTCCTAATAGGCCCCGATTGTGACGTCACACGAGCGTTAGAACGCCACTTAGTTGATGGTGTGGTGTCAGGAGGCAGGCGCGTGCTCGTGAGGTTGCCGCGCCTTACGCTCCGTACCGTTCGCTAGTAAACTGTTGAATTCCATTTCTAGGATTTGCCGCGCCTACATTCGGAAATGATTTCATGTTATAAAAGAGTATTAACAGAGTCCATAACATTCAGGATGTCTGTGATTATTAATCGTCAGTTATAAAATAATTTAACAAAAGGTCTCAATCAAGGTAGATTGTTCATTTTTATCGGCTAATAAAGTACTGAAGTGGGCAGGAAACTTGGTTGTTAAATTAAAAAAATGTAATAAAATAAAAATGTCCTTAAGACAGTTTATGCCAGATGCTAATTGGTGAATGATTAATGATGAAATAATAATAATGTCATCAGAAGAATGAGAATGAAATACTCAAAGGAAATAATTACAAATTTGGGTAAACACGGCATACCTGAGTATTCTGCGTGGGTATCTGCAGCGCAAGCGCCATACTGTTGGCGTCAAAGTTATCGTCCAACGCGATCAACGCACCGTGCACGCCGCTCTCTGATAAGTTAGCTGCGTACTCCTATAAGAGAAATATTAATTAATAAGAATACCTAACAAAAATTTAAGCATCAGATTTGCAAAAGTTTCAGTAATCGTCGGAATAACAGTATCTCCGTTTATCTTTTCAATATTAAAAAAAAATATATAGGTATGTATGTAAATGCATTTTATAGAAAGTGCTATTTCGTAATTACCACTATTTTACTTATACATTATTATTTTTATAAAAAAATTAAATTGGATCCCGTAGTTCTGATCAATCTCGATATAGGCCGTTCAACTAGCAAACAATTTAAATTTTAAAAGATGCTTTATTTCTCGTAACCTTTATATATTCGCAGATAATAGATTTATGTAAGTGGAAGAATTTTGAATATGGATTTAGTCGTTATTATTTATTACATCTTAATATATTAAAAAAATCGGGTTTGTTTGAAATAAAATAACAATTCCAATATATTTTGTATTGGTTCATTATTCATGAGTTTCGTAACGTCAAATATTTAACGTTTATCCCGTCGATACGGTTATCTCTCCCCTCAAATTACCGAACGTATTTAAATATCGTGCATGCTTTCAGAAAATTTATTTTGTAAACTAAGCAATAAACAAGGTACTTAAATTTACAAACAAAAAATCATTTTGTGTTACCTCATCTCAAAAAAGTAGTGAACGTAATATTTATTTTGTATTCATCGTGTAACTTTCATAAAATGATAAATTAAGTTCAACTGATCCGTAACACGACATTCATTGACTGTTCCGAATATAAAATCATGAAAGTTGTTGATTTTTGTTCAAAATGTGAATTTCAAACTGACCTTGAGATTAATAGCAGTGAGCCACCGTTGCAGCCTCTCGTTGGTCCACACGAGTACGTCCCGTATGCAATGCTCTGCGGAGCGACGTCGCTCTTCCAACGCGCGCACCGAGTAACCCACGCGCTTAAGACACGCCACACCGAAATGGAGCGATGTCCTGCAATATTATTACCGAATTCAAAAGGTAATCAGTTTGACATTCGTATGTGATATTGTAAATAAACTAAAAGTCATATGGAAATTTTCTTGATATGCTAATTTAGGGAACAGTTCAAGTTTTATCGAAATTGGTCTATCCACACATTTCTAAAAAGTACATATTTTGTTTTTTTACCTTTTTCAGCTATCAGGTATTTGAAGTAATTTTCAAAAATTAAATTTTTTAAACTTATTAAAAATCGGTAGATTTCGACGTATCGTATTTAAAAAAAAAAGTTTGTTACCACCCACCAAAATCTGATTATGTTTTCTAGTTGAACATTTAACCTGTGAAAACTGTCAAGCATCTTGAGTTGCGTACGTAAGTCCCTCTTAGTGAGATGCTCCAACATACGAGCGTCAACCAAACATTCCATGAACGTCGTTCTATACTGGGGTAAACCTGCAAAATAACAAGTATTATTGACTCGTCCATAAGATATCAATAATTCGTTTTTCAATTGAAAATTAAATAAAATCTAAAGCTATGTGGGGTACTTAAACAAAAAAGTTTATTTAAACTGAATTGCACGTTAAGAAAGAAATAAATGAATTTAAACAAATACCGTGCTTTTAAGGGCATCAACCTTTGGCCTATTTTAATAATTACTATGAAAATTTACTAATGAAGATTTATACCTAACGAAGGCAGCCAAACGTTGCCGATCCATTCATGGTTCATGTCTCCAAAGGCCAGCGCTGCGCAAGCAGTGCCTCTTGGGGCAGAGGGTGACGTAAGAGAAACCATCTCTTGGATCGCTAGACGGAGCTTCAGGCGGTGTAGAGGGTTGCTTATACCTGTAATTTAGAAATATTTTTCAATTTCAATATGTATATTATATGTATTAGTAACAATAGGCCACATACAAACATACATATATCCTTTCATATTATTTTTGTATTTATATGTTTAAATAATTCATGCATTCCACGTAAATGACAGAAACTGATATTTTGGTATATTACGAAATATTTATATAAATAAAATAAATCATCTGTTTCATGACCATTCGTCAATCTAATAGACGAGTAGGTGATCAGCCTCCTGTGCCTACCACACGCCATTGACTTTTTGGGTCTAAGGCGAGCCGGTTTCCTCACGATGTTTTCCTTTACCGTTCGAGCGAATGTTAAATGGTACACCAAAGGAATTTCTTTCTGTTTCTTAGAGCTGGGGTTCAAACCTACGACCTCAGGTGATGAGTTGCACGCTAAAGCCACAAGGCCAACACTGCTCAATTTCACTGGTCAGAAAGGGCCGACTTAAAAAACACACCGATTTGCGCTAAGCCCTTGACGTTTGACAGCCAAACTGCAAGGCGGGCATCCCTCCAAAAATTAAACGTTCTCAAGGCAAGGCAACCAAAGTTGGGCAGTTCAAGGTGAAAGCATTGGTGTTACCCACACAATATCCCTGGCCTCTCACAACTCGTGACGTTTGTCATGATCTATGAAATTGATACAACATGTGACTCACCAATCTCCCGCTGTACTCTTAGGTCAACGGAGCCCACATGATAACGCCGTACTTGACGTTAGCCCGACAGGCGGCCGCCTGCTCTGTAGGGTGACACCTACGACTTTAGCAAGATCCATAATTGGGTCGTTCAGAGGGCAAAGTTGCCCGCCACCGATTCACCTAAAAATTTATTAATTCGGTGTTCTAGAATTTGAATTGTTAAAAAACGGGTTTACTCTTGAGACTTTTAAGTCAACGTTATCTGCCTATAACGCTATTTTGTATAACGCCGTTTCCGCCTGCTCTTATTGAAATTTACGTACTTATCAATCCATAATTGTGTTGTTATAAAATTCAACTAAAAAACTTAGTAAATTGTGTTCCTAGAATCTGTTTTTGTAGAAAAAATAAGTTTATGATAATAAGTAACGCTATTGCTCTTAACTAATAACAATCTTTGGAAACTTACTTAGTTTTAGTTCTAGCGTATTCCGCATGCTGTAGCGGGGCTTGCATACCGCTTTGCGACATCTGACCGTCGTCATCGACCAGCGACGACAGACCTAACGAAGATACTGATGATAGGGTCCTACTCCCTTGACCTTGTACCTGTAGATATGTGTTAAGAATATAGATTATGTAATAGCCGAAAAGTATTCGAAAGTTATCTAAATGAGACCGAATAAAGAAGTTTTATTTAAACGTGTATTCGCAGAAACAGCAGTGTTGGATTTTAGCGTTCGCCTGAGGTTGTAGGTTCGATCCCCAGCTGTGGACCAATGGACTTTCTTTCTATGTGCGCATTTAACATTCGCCCCAACGGGGAATGAAAACACCTTTGACACAAAAAGTCGACGGCGTGTGTCAGGCACAGGAACGTGATCAGTTCCTGTGCCACTTGCCTATTCTATTGACAAATTATCATGTAACAGATACCAAAAAAAGTTTTATCGCCACTGATTAATTTTATTCGTATAAACCACAAAAACTATTAGAACAAATTTTAATATAACTATGCGTTTTATTATTTGAACTCACCGGCAATCCAGCTTTATCCTTTTTACTAAAGAATCTTCCCAGAGAGCTCTTAATGCCACGCTTCTTCTGTTGGTGCATGGACGCAATGGAGACGGCTGAGGCTGCTGATGTCACGCCACGAGGAAGACCGGGCGATGCCCCGCCACCCCAAGTGCTGGTGCCACCGCCGAGGGACTCTTGGCTTGAGCTGCTATTTCGGAACAGGATATTTAGTGTCACTCAATTATTACTTTTCAAATACAATATATTTTTATTGATGTTTCATATTAATAGAACAACGTTAAATACGTTTAACCGTAGTTTAAAATGTAGATTAAGGTTAGTACCGATCCTGAAAAATAAACTTTGTTGAGAAAATATAAATATCGACTTTTATTGTTATTGAAGGTCTAATCTGGTTTTAAAAACAAAAGTTTTTTTATCAAGTTCGGTATTTTTGACAATGTTCATCTACATCTCGAGATACAAATTTAAATTTAGATAGCAGTACATATATTATTCTTATAAAAGATATTTTTGAGAAATACAATTCATAACATAGCACATCAGTTAGTCGATCTAAGGTTTAGAAATAAAAATTATTAAAAGAAACACCTGTGCATCGGGATCCTTGCCATACTTCCAGACATTATAGAGCTCCTGGGCAGCATGAATTAAATAGTTTTATTAGTGACTAATGATTATTCTTACTTTATTTCTAACTATTCTTTTAAGTATTGACTAACCCTCAATAAGGCATTCCTTAACTTTTTCAAAAACTTTAAACAATTTTCGACGTTTTTAATTATGTAAAATAATTATAAGTTTATAATAATACATAACTTCAATCCGATAAAAAAGTGTTTTCTTTAAATGTGTAAAAGTTATGTTAACAACACTATTTAAACTATCTGTTATTTTCAATAAAACTGTTACAGACAGACCCGATTTTAAAACGTAACGCCATGGACAGTACTAAAATACGTCCACATCAACGTATTCACTTAAATATACATATAAGCTTCCATAAATATAACTCATTACATACACACAAAAATACTTACGAGTCATAAGGCGCAGGATAATGCGTTCTCAAACGATCTCGCTCAGCGTGAATAGCCCTCGCTGCCCTTTCAAGTCGCAGCGAACGCGCCGTTAAAGGAGACTCCGCACCTTCACAGACCCCGCCCATTCCCACACCGGCCACACCTACACCAGCCACGCCCTCCTCGCATAGCTGCAACTGTATTGGTGTTATTCTAATATCTGCTTAATATGCAGCTCTGTGCAAAGGCCATTTATTACACAATTGAATGGGAAAAAATATCAGCGAGCTCAGTTTAGCAAAGGGTGACATAATAAAGTCAAAAGCCATATTTGTATTACTAAATCGTTATAAGTTCATTTGAATTGGATAAGCTGCTGATGCATTAATTGTAAATGCGGATTATTCATAGCTTATTAGAAAAGATTTCAAAGGTTCTGAAAATTTAGATAAATAAATTTATTACTAAGCATTTCCTTCCATTTATAAGATTGATACATATCATGAAGATTTAATAATTGCTACAGTACCATAAACATAGCACATATGAGCTAATATAGAAGTCATACAATATACGTACATATATTACACCTAAGCAAAATTTTAATACAGTTCGTGCCAATAGATATGCTATACGCTAAGCATCCTACTTGAATACTACGAATAGGAAATTACTTTTCCAAATACAGACTACATATAGTCAAGATATACGACGTTTTAGTAGCAGAAGCTTAAGCGTAATACTTAAGATGTATACACAAGCTCTGAGCCTTTAAGTATCATCGTTAGAAGAGATATCAACATTTAGCCGGAATAATTTGCTCTGTGCAGAATTAACAATCGTGCTTAGGAGTTCGGAGTGGGTACTGCGACGACTATCGGGAGCTCTCATAGCAAGGCTGATTCAATATTACTTTAAATTGTTCCATACAAAAACAAAGTATTATTGCATAACTTATGTTTGAGCGCTCAAGATAATCCCTGCAAGGATGTCAAGGCTTTTGAGCGTTTGGAGAGAGAAAGTGAGGGTGTGTAAGGATAGAGGGTTAGCACGCACCTGACTGGAGGGCAGGCTCTCAGAGGCGATGGCCGCACGGTAGTGCGCGTGCGCAGGTGACATTGACGCGGGCGCCTGACACCATATGGTATAATTTTACAACTCATAGATCTTAATGGTCCAAATCATGAAAAACTATTCACCACATGCGCAAATTCAATTGTTATATTGTAATCACTGATCACATTGTTTGTTACTTATCAAATAAAAAGTAAATCTAACAAAACGCTGAAAAAAAATATTATTACTATACATGTGTGTGTACTTACAGTGTGGTACTTGTGATGCATATGTGTGTGCGAAGGCGAAGCAGCTGGGGGCGGAGACTCGGCGCGACGCGATACAACGTTCATATGTTCATAGCTGCCAACCTGTAAACACACATTTTTTTATTTGTACGCATAAATATTATACATTGTATTATACGTCAAATAAAAAAACTAAATATAGTTCTTACATTTATCGAGTGATAATACAATAATTATAAGTAATGTATTACATTAATACTTTTTTACGTAATCTATTACTTAGAACGAGAGAAGAAATTAGGCATTCTTTGTTTACAGATATCGTAAACACATAATAACAACCATTAAGAGACAGGCCACAGTTTGAAAAACTTTTTTTTTATTTGCAAATTTCGTCATCTCTTTTTAGCATTAGGCAACTTGACACAAATCTGCATCATGTGTTATAAAAACCTGGCGTAATTGAATTTTGATAATTATTAGCTTCATCATTGGAAGCGCAATTAAGAGTTACAAAGTAGGTACCCTCCCAATTATGATTAGAAAAGTTAAGACTAGAGTTATATGTTACGTCTTCTTAATACAAATAAATATATAAATGGATAAAAGATTTCTGTCTCTGTTTCATGATCATTTGTCAATCTAATAGGCAAGTAGGTGATCAGCCTCCTGTCTCTGACACATGCCATCGACTTTTTGGGTCTAAGGCAAGCCGGTTAACTGACGATGTTTTCCTTTACCTCTTTAGCTAATTTAACATTTGCACATTGAAAGAAATTCCATTGGTGCACAGCCGGGGTTTGAACCTACGAGCTCAGGGATGAGTGTCGCACGCTGAAGCCACTAGGCCAACACTGCTTTTGTTAAATCTTCTAACAATTTAAAACATACCCTAGACTCCAGTTCCTCAGCCCTGGCTTCTGTGCTCTGCTTCTCTTCCTGAATGAGTCGTATCTCCGTGTTAATGGCGTCTAGCTGTTCCTGCAGCATGAGAGCCAAGGCAGCAGCATCCGTGTGCCCACCTTCAGCCCCTTCAGACTCATCATTCTGAAATGGTTGAAAATTAATGTAATTAAAAAGTAATGGCAAATATTCGATTTCATTTGCCTACGCATTGTACATCGAAATTGCTCCGATTTTGTTTTTTTTAAAAATAATAGTTAACTAAATTTAATTTTTATTTTATAATCACTGAAATCGTAAATATTTTAACTTCTCAGCTGTAAGCTGCACAGCTCAGATGAGATAGTTACGTTCATTAACGGTATAAAGATTTTGAAGATCATTCGTTTGCAGAATTTTAGTACGTACCGAAACCGAAGGATTTAAACTCACCTCCGCATCACTAGTAACATCGAAACCTTGCTGAACACTTGCGAGCACATGAGCTTGCTGAAGTTTCTCCCAGGAACCGTCCAACTGCAATAATCATATAACTAGTATTGTCTTTGATTAACATAACTTTTATTCATTTAATAAAACACTATTTTGACCGTCACCGTGACCACGCACGCTGTAAAGCACGCGAAACGTCGGATAAATTTAAAATTATGTTAAATAGTTGTAAATTTATAATAATACATAACTTCAATCCGGTCAAAATAGTGTTTTATTAAATCATATAACTTACTTGGTTACATTAGACTTAACGCTTTAAATAAAAAAAACTACGAAAATTTGCCTGAAATTTCATAAGTTATTAGTAGACTTAAATGAAAAAGACGCTCTGAAATGATTAAGTTTTCCATACCTTGGGCTGGAAGAGTCCCGGCGGCGGCGGCTGCGGAGCTGCTGGGGATAAGGAACGAGTCAAGGCGTCCGTTTGTTGAATGTTGAACGCTATCTCTTGTTGGAGCATCTGACGCTTGAGCTGGAAGAGAAATGTTAAGTTTAAAACCTTTATATTACGCGACTTAAACGTGCAATGGTTTTAAGATACTTGAAAGAATTAAAGCATTTATCATCGGTCTCGAAGATTATCATAAAGAAATATGGCGAGGGAGCCGATGGCTGGTAGACCCCAAGCCCCGGGAAAAAAAAAACCGGGGGGAAGGACCCGGGGGGGGTGGGGGGGGGGGGGGGTTTTTTTTTTTAAAAAAGGGGGGGGGGGGGGGGGGGGTTTTTGGGGGGGGGGGGGGGGGGGGGGGGGGGGGGGGGGGGTTTTTTTTTGGGGGGGGGGGGTTTTTTTTTTTTTTTTTTGGGGGGGGGTTTTTTTTTTTTTTTTTTTTAAAAAAAAAAAAGAGAAAAGGGGGGGGGGGGGGGGGGGGGGGGGGGGGGGGGGGGGGGGGTTTTTTGGTGGCGGGGGGGGGGGGGGGGGGGGGGGGTTTTTTTGGGTGGGGGGTTGGGGGCCCCCCCCCCCCCCCCCCCCCCCCCCCCCCCCCCCCCCCCCCCCCCCCCCCCCCCGGGGGGGGGGGGGGGGGGGGGGGCCCCCCCGGGGGGCGCGCGGGGGGGGGGGGGGGGGGGGGGGGGGTTTTATTTTTTTTTTTTTTTTTTTTTCTTTTCTCCCCCCCCCCCCCCCCCCCCCCCCCCCCCCCCCCCCCCCCGGGGGGGGGGGGGGGGGGGGGGGGGGGGGGGTTTTTTCTCCCCCCCTCCCCCTTCCCCCGGGGGCTCCCCCCCCCCTCCCCCCCCCCCCCCCCTTTTTTTTTTTTTTCTCCCCCCCCCCCCCCCCCCCCCCCCCCCCCCCCCCCCCCCCCCCCCCCCCCCCCCCCCCCCCGGCCCCCCCGGCCCGGGGGGGGGGGGGGGGGGGGGGGGTGTTGCCTTTTTTTTTTTTTTTTTTTTTTTTTTTTTTTTTTTTTTTTTTTTTTTTTTTTTTTTTTTTTTTTTTTTTTTTTTTTTTTCTCCTCTTCCTTCTCCCCCCCCCCCCCCCCCCCCCACCCCCCCCCCCCCCCCCCCCCCCCCCCCCCCCCCCCCCCCCCCCCCCCCCCCCCCCCCCCCCCCCTCCTCTTTTTTTTTTTTTTTTTTTTTTTATTTTTTTTTTTTTTTTTTTTTTTCTTTCCCCCTCTTCCCCCCCCCCCCCCCCCCCCCCCCCCCCCCCCCCCCCCCCCCCCCCGCGGGGGGTCTCCTTTTGGGGTGGGTTTTTTTTTCTTTTGGGGTGGGTGTTTTTTTTGTTTTGGGGTTTGTTCCCGGGGGGGGGGCTTCTCTCCCCCGGGGTCTTCTTTCCCTCCTTTTTTCCTTCTTTTCCCCCCCCCCCCCCCCCCCCCCCCCCCCCCCCCCCCCCCCCCCCCCCCCCCCCCCCCCCCCCCCCCCCCCCCCCCCCCTCCCCCCCCCCCCCCCCCCCCCCCCCCCCCTCTTTTTTTTTTTTTTTTTTTTTCTCCCCCCCCCCCCGCCCTCTTTTGTTTCCCCCCCCCCCCTTTTTCTCTTCCTCCCCCCCCCCCCCCCCCCCCGCCTCGCTCTTCTCCCCCCCCCCCCCCCGGCGGCCCCCGCCGGCGGGGCCTTGTTTTTTTTTTTTTTTTTTTTTTTTTTTTTTTTTTTTTTTTTTTTTTTTTTTTTTTTTTTTTTTTTTTTTTTTTTTTTTTTTTTTTTTTTTTTTTCCCCCCCCCCCCTCCTTTTTTCTTTTTTTTTTTCTCTTTCTCTTTTTTTTTTTTTTTTTTTTTTTTTTTTTTTTTTTTTTTTTTTTTTTTTTTTTTTTTTTTTTTTTTTTTTTTTTTTTTTTTTTTTTTTTTTTTTTTTTTTTTTTTTTTTTCTTTCTTTTTTTTTTTTCCCCCCTCTCTTTCTTTCTCTTTTTTTTTTTTTTTTTTTTTTTTTTTTTTTTTTTTTTTTTTTTTTTTTTTTTTTTTTTTTTTTTTTTTTTTTTTTTTTTTTTTTTTGTTTTTTTTTTTTTTTTTTCTTTGGGTCGGGGCCCGGGGGGGCCTCCCCCGCCGGGGGGGGGGGGGGGGGGGGGGGGGGGGGGGGGGCCGCCCGGCCCCTCCGCCCCCGGCCGGCTTTTTGGGGGGGCTTTTCTTCTTTCTTCTTTCTCTTTTTCTTCCTCTCTCCTCCCTCCCTCCCCCCCCCCTCCCCCCCCCCCCCCTCCTCCCCCCTCCCTCCTCCCCCCCCCCCCCCTCCCCCTCCTCTCCCCCCCCCTCCCCTCTCTCCCTCTTTTTTCTTCTTTTTTTTTTTTTTTTTTTTCTTTTTTTTTTTTTTTTTTTTTTTTTTTTTTTTTTTTTTTTTTTTTTTTTTTTTTTTTTTTTTTTTTTTTTTTTTTTTTTTTTTTTTTTTTTTTTTTTTTTTTGGCCATGCGTCATACTCGTGAACGGGTGCTACTTGTGTTGACTGGTCGTACTTGAATTCGTGTATGCGGTGATGTTAGTTATTTCGACTATATGTTTATATGTTTGCGTGTTGTTCCCACGACAATGTAAGTGCGTGCTCCTGTTTCACCATGCCTCCTGCTGTTAGAGGACAAGTCTTTGTTTTTAATTTATGTTATTATTATTAATTACTAAAGATGTCATGTGGAACATGGTGTAATGGTTGCAGCTCCTTACGTTGTGTAAAAAAAACATGGCGATAAAAAGAGTGGCGGAGAGTTTATTGCCAGTTCTTCTCTTCCGTTCTTAGCCCCTTGATTTGAGAACTGGCACTAAATGTAAAGTTAGAAGCATTTCATATAGGTACATTTCTTTTTTTTTGAGGATCATAAGTGTACAATGTGTTACCTATATGATTTAATAATTTTTGAAATGAATTGAATTGAATGTATATTAATACCTGTTCAGTCTCCATCCTCCACTTGGCGAGTTCCTTGAGTATCTCCTGTTTCTCGTGAAGCAATTCATCTGCGTACTTACGAGTCTTCTCTAACTCTTGCTGCAATGCGTTCTTCTCTTCTAGCGCGTGCATTCTCTCTTTCAGGTGAACTTGCAATCTATAAAATATATAAAGTTTAATACAAATTTGACTTCTGCCTAACTACGGGTTTACTTGGCAGGTTACAATGGATTAATCAATTAAGGGAATTTTTTGGCAAGTATAAGGGTCAAATCAGCCAATATTGTATGTATGATACTGATACATACAAATGTACGCTAGAAAATTATTAACAAAAGATTTTTCTCTTGGCACTTATATGTTGACAGCTCATATCGGACGTATTAACTCAGATACAGAGACTCATCAAATAGTCATTAGAAAAAGAAAAGCAACATAAAATAATCATGAAATTTTTGACATTATCTTGCTAATCCTAACCTGTCATTAGACTCCGACAGCAGCTTATCCACCGTCGCAGACAGCCTCGTGTTGTGCTCCTCGTTCATCCTCAGCCGCTGGTTAAGCCTCATCAGCTCCGCATTCTTTTCCTCAACACTCGCCTCAAGCCTCTGTATTCTGTCTTCAGCGGAGCCATGCCTCTCCTGCGCCTGGAAAGATTAAGACGTTTCATATAGTGAAACCCATCTATACGATGCTACAAAAAGACCGCGAAATTTAGATACGTTTACAACGTAGCATTATATTAACGCATCGTCTAAATATTTTTTATTCAATTTTGTAATTATTAAAGAATTTTTGTGTTGCCGAATTCATCATACAATCAGTTCTTATAAAGTAATTTAATTTTCCTATTAGCAACAGGTATATTTTAAAATTTTGTTCAAAATTTTCAAGGTCAAACATAATTAAAAACAGTCATTATTTATTAAACTCGTATCTGTTAGTATTAGTAAACATCAATTATGATCGAAGCCCTCACTTAGTTACGAGACTTGATCACTATGACGAAGCGCATGAAGAATGGGAGTGAGTCTAACCTACGTTAGGATATAATCTGTTGACCTTGTTATATGGAAATAACTTAGAATTATAAAATGGAGAAATTAAATATAATATTTTCATAAGTTGGTTATACAAAATACATATTCAGAGAATAAATCAAGAACTTTAGAAAGAAACAACATCGAAGAAACTTAGGCTACTTGGTAGGAATTTACAAATAATCTACGGCATGCTAATCCATACGATCCAAGGTCAACGACCCACCTGGCTGAGAGCTTCCATCCTGGCCTTCAGCTGCTCCTCCATTTCGGGCAGAGAACACATCTGGGCCAGTTTCTGTGTGGACAGCTCCAACTTCTCCTCGATGGCCGCTATCTTCTCTTCTTGAAGCTGAAATGTTGACAAGTCATGGCGGTGGCATGGGCAGAGTGGATGTGATGGTTGCGCTAGGCATGACTATAGCTAGCTCACTCGAACAATCGCACTATTGGGATATTTAACAAGCACGCAAGCTAAGCCCTACATCAGAGTATTACAGATTTCTATTAGTGTGTTGTACGTTATTTTGAATCAACTTTTTCATTAATTCACGTTTAGTTATTAAATATGTGGAGTTAATTAGTGAGCTAGCCCTTAGTATTTGTATATAACGTGGTTCATGCATGTGCTGTTAGGATCTAGTTATAATCACTAATTTGTCACTTTACAAAATCGGTTTACTACTGGACTCTTTAATCGTG